GTGTGAAGCAACAAAAGATGCCGGCGACTGACGAAATAACAAGATTTTGTCTCCACTACACAACAAAGAACACAGTAGTGTACACCAAATAAGTTTATTTAGGGAAGCCTGCCGAGAACCAACCCGAGGCATATATAGACTGGGGAATGCATACATACATATATTCGCAACTGATATACCATATACAATCCTGATATACAGTCAATTCCTTACACATTAAAAAAAAGGTATACATTACTGACATGCAAACTTCACCAAGTCTGGATTAACAGAGATGGGCAACCGCTTACAAGGACATAACTACGGTTATACAGAGGCCAGAAAAAACCTGCCAGAAAAAACCCCTTTGGGGAAAAACATGACAGGAAATCTGGGTAGGAACCATGGCCCAAACTCAGAGCAGTTGGCAGCCCATCCTACGAGGCTTCACAACTAAAGAAAATATGTTTTCAAACTAAAATAAATTTGTCATCAGCCAGAGGTGAACGGTTGGTTCTGAGGCCTAGATAGACATCACGTGCTATACTTTCCCTTATATACCACTGCATCATTACCCATGATGCTTGGGCCTAAGGCCCAGGCCTTGTCGTATCTCGTGCCGACAAAATATTTATTTCTGCCTTATTCGCAGACTCATTCGTCAGAAATACCATTTAACACGAAAATCAAATAACACCTGAACAAACAATTTTAGCTACCGATTTTCAGTAAATTTTTAAAGAACAATTTTCTTTTAAGTTTCAAGACAATTTGAAGATTCAACATACATACAACATACTAAAATGCGAAAGTTACACACTACAAAATTGATAAATAGGCCTGAAATGAAATTCTATCTTGTTATTGATTATACGTTGCCTAGGACGTGACTTAAATCTACCCAGGCGGAGATCCAAAATGACGGTGGCAGGCTTGGCTTAGTTATATCACTCAAAACTCGTTCCCGTTTGTCTTATTTGATAAAAAGGGAATCGTTAATGTTTTCATTAAGACAGTATTGCCTTGATTTTGTAATATTTACAACGAAAGACAGTAAATTTCACTTTTCACCCACATTTACTTCCAACCTTTTCTTTTGAGCCAGAAACAAAAATGATAGACGTTTAAAACACATGACATCATCCACCTTGTGAAATGTAATAGCATGATCATTTCAATTGTATTGCCTTCTTATCCCAACGTTACTTTGTTTCTTTGCTACATTAGCGAACACTGAACTACTGCTCGTACTCTAGATATGACAATCAACCACAAAATTCCCTAAACCAGATAACATTAAACATAGTCTAAAAAATCATGTGTCAATTCACGAGTTTGCTCACAGAGCACTTTGATTATACCAGACGGCTTTAACGTCTCAGACGTTAAATGCGTCCAGACGACTTTAACGTCTCTAGTATAAAAACGGCCATTTACGATATCGATACGGTATTGAGCAAACATATCATTATGATTCTCGTTTTCACGAAAAAGTTAATGCAGTAAATCTCTAGAGAACATCTCATACACTGTTGACTTCTGATGGAATCCCGTCTTTTCTGGAAAGATGTATATATATATATGCAAGCACAATTTTTTGATAAAGATTCCGAGTCTTAATCAACCCGTATTAACATCTTGTTAACGACAAACAATAAAAAGTAATTTTGAATATCGTTTTAAGGTGCCACCTAAAAAGTTCTATAGACTAAATTTGCACATTTGTTTGTAAAAGACGTTCAAGAGAGCAATTGAAAATAAATAAGCCTTAACACGAAAACGAAGGGCATAAATTATAATAAAGCATTTAAAGACGGCTATTTTAAGTATCATCAACCAACGACGAAAAACACCACATATTGAAAAGCAACAGAGAATCCCAATCACTGACTAATTCCTAGAAATTGAAAGAAAAAGACCTTTGAAGAAAGGGCTTTATTGATAATTAAGCTTTCAATGTTTTTTATAAGTGTCATCTAACAAATGACAAAGGACACCACGGTAGGATTTTAAATATTGTTCTCACTGCCCACCCGGAAAGTTGTATGACATAATTGTGCTCAATTGTTTCTGAAAGACTGTTAGGAAGAAACAAAAACAAAGAATGTCAATCACCAACCAGCTGCTCTGAAGAAACAAAAGAAAAAACCTGGAAGAAAAGAACATAACCATTTATTCAGCTGTTAAGAACGACTATTTAAAATAGTTAATGACAAAGAACAATGACCAAACAATAATCAATCAATGAAGAAACAAAAGAAAAAACTTGGAAGAAAAGAACATAACTATTCATTCAGCTGTTAAGAACGGCTCTTTAAAATAGTTAATGACAAAGAACACCAATTGCAGGAAATCTCTATGTTGACTTCTGATTCTGGAAAGATGTTTATATGCAAGCACAACCTTTGATAAATATTCCAAGGTCTTAATCAACCCGTATTAATAGCATCTTTTTCGCGAGAAACAATAAAAAGAGGTTTTGAATATCGTTTTAAGTTGCTACCTAAATAATTCTATAGAATAAATTTTCTAAATTGTTTGCGAAAGACGTTCAAGAAAGCAATTGAAAACAAAGAATATCAATTACCAATTAATTTCTAAAAAGTAAAAAAAATGGAACAAAGGGTATAAACTATAAGAAAGAATTTAAAAAAGGCTATTATCATCAACCAATGACAAAGTTAAGAAAACCATACTGAAGAGTAAGGTTTTGTTAACTTCCAATCATCAACTAAGTTCTAAGAAGTGAGAAAAAACCTTAAAAGAAAGGGTTTTACCTATAATTAAGCGTTTATATTTTTCTAAGTGTCATTAACCAATGAAAAAAGACCACATCTTTAGACAAAAACAAAAACAAAGAATATAAATTACCAACTAATTTCTAAAAAGTAAAAAAAATGGAACAAAGGGCAACCAATGAAAAAATACCACATTTTTTAAAATAATTTTGGCTTTTAAAAGCTCGAGTTTAACCTGGCACTGCACAGTAAGCATTTCGGAGTAGCAGATAAACACAACTCTGAAATTTGGTAGGTCCAAGTAACTTCCACTAAATCATTAAGGGAAAATAATGCTGTTAGCGTTTACCGTTCTGTTGTAGATAGCTTGCAAACTTAAAAGGCTATTTCTGGGTCCTTATAATTAATTCTGAAACTTAATGCCATTTGGGCTATTTCCGCACAAAATTCTCTGCGTCTTTGGTATGTTAAAGTAATGTTTATCGCAATACCCGGAGGGTATTTCATTCAATTTCGAGATGCTTGTGTGTGCACCGTCTGCATGATATGCAACGACAAGTTTTGTTCAAATTCAGACGAACTATGAACAGCTATTATGACCTCTGTCACAATACGTTAATACACGAATAGCTTAGCTTTTTACCACTTGACTTTCAGTTTTCGCCTGGAACCGCAAGCATCCCCGGTCTGTACTTGGAAACTTTAAAGAAAGAGTTTTGATGATGATGATGATTTACTTAATCAGCCTACTGCTGTTAATCCAAGCTGATTTCACTCTGAGTAAGTGTACTGAAGCTAATTGGCGTGCAAGTTTCGACAGACAAGGGTGGTCGGTTTGTCCAGATGATCGTGAGTTCCTTACAGGATTTTGGAGAAGCGGCAAAGAATTTCGTCTTTTTCAGGCATGGGGAGACGGCCTTTGGCTTCTCGAGCACGGAAATTGCTGCCCAGCTATTGATCCACGCTATATTGGTCAGCACTCTACTTGTGTGGATGAGAGCTGGAGTGCAACATTGGATAAGTGAGTATTTAAACCTTAAATTGAGATATGAAGAGTATAAAAAAGTGCTGGGGTAAATTCGTAATATCAGGAAATTAAGCCCTAGGTTTGGTTAAATACAAAGACGCAAGTTTTAGGAAAATCAGAAATTTATCTGTCAGTGACAACTCAATCATTTCAATTGGTGTTGTAAACGTATTAGTTAAATGAGCACAACTGCACGTTTAAACTTCTTTATTAAGATTTTTATTTCCAGTGATTTTTTTTTTCTTCTTTGTTCAGATCTCATGTCTGGGCACAGTGCAGTCGCGGTTACTTCTTGGAGGGTTTCCACATCAGCGATACTCAACATCTCAGTGATATCACAACGGGCAGGTGTTGTCGACCACAAAATCATCCCCTCACCTATGATCACTGTTACGAAGAAGATATTACTCATTCGTTCGATCACCAAGGTTGGACGAAATGCAAAAGGCTTGGCTACTATATAACCGGCATCTACAAGGGCGGCTGCGACACCCTATCTTGCATTGAAAAATTAAAATGCTGCAGAATGGCAAGAGGTAGTTTGTTAAATAAGTTTTGGAGACAGTTTTTATTATACGAAATGATGTTTGCCCTACTTAATGAAAGCTAACATAGGATCGCTGAGCGATGGGAATTTGTGGAAGTCTCCTAAGTTGACGCACCGAGGCGAGGCATTTGAGGTGTAAATGATTAGAGCAGATAAATACAGTATCTGAACCTCTGAGAGCCATTATAATCCATCACCCTCGAACTCTAACGAAGGAACTGAACTGTGAAATAACCTGGGCTATATCTGACACGTGAATGTACCAACCCACCCCCGTCAGGAAACGGATCGCCTTGCAAGGGAAGATATTCAGAGAATGTAAAATGCAAACTGCGGTCATGTAATGGTATGAAATACAATTAACAAGGAGAGGATTGAGGTTAGAAATTAAATCTCTGCAGAGGCAGATCTCAGTCTCAATTGATTTGATCCTTTTTAATAACTGAACGGCCCCAAAAAGTGTAACAAGTGTCCGCACTCGTCGAACTTCTTCTTATCGAAGTTGCGATAGGTAATTATGAGCTTGTGACCTATTTTCTCACGCGACACAGTAATTCTGTTGACTGCGCTGTCACCAACTGTGATATCATTTAATACTCCCAAGCTAGATAAATTGGTCAAGGTAAAGAGTGACGGCCGAGCGACATGAAATCACACGTAACGCTTCTGAAGCTTAATAAATATATTCCTGCTATTATTTTTTTAACAGGAAAGGGGAAATAGTTGGAGTATATAGTAAGAAAGCAGGTAAATGTCGTAACTAGTGTATCGGAAAAAAAGAAAGCGATTGTTCGTAGTGTTTTAGAGTTTTACAGTTTGTTTTGCGATGCAGTCGTTTTGAAGTGTCTTCAATGCTTCGGTTGCAGTGTGCTTTCCTTTTTCACAGTCTGAAGTCTACTGGTTACGGGTCACCTAACAGAGCACTATGCTTTGCTCATTTCGATCCTCGCTGGTTTGTGTATGAACGAGTTGTACCATTTTTGGGCTTCTGTCATGTACCTTTCTTGCTGCAGATGTCGTTGGGTATGGGCATCAGTAATAGTTTGCATTTCTATGTCACTCGAGTGGTACTTTTGGAAGTAATGTCTTGTTTTGATCGCCATCAATGAATGTTATATTACTATCAGTAGATTTTTTTCCCCCTCAAACTAAGGCGGGTGGTGTCAAGTGTTGGCGGGCGCTATGAAATCAGGAAACCTGGGTATCGCCGATTCCGATTGATATCCAAGAAATTGTTCTTGAGGAAGAAATACCCTTTGCCACGTTTTCACGTTTAGATGAAGATGTGAAAGTAACGTGGTCGTCCGCTTGAAAATATCGCTTGCGCCATTTTGTTTTAAATGCTGATGACGCAGTTTTACGCTTTTGTTCATAACGACGTTTATCAGACCAGGATGTCCACTGTAACAAAGAAAGGACAAATCTGATGAAATATTTGTTGATTATTTTTCAGATCCGTGCCATAGTCAAGAAAAATTGGGGATACTATAGATGGGTATTACTGGGGGTTTAAAGGTTACACACCATCATCAGGGAATCATCGGTCCTACCTGAATCATGACATGATATGTAGAGCAAGCTGTAATAAAACTGACTTGGGGGTAATAAAGAAATAAAAATAACACATCTTGTGGTGATGGCTCTTAAACAACTTCATGGATGAAAACGTTTAGACTGAGGTAAGAAAGGTGGAAAATTTGGAGCTTGCCAGTCAAGGAGACCGAGAAAGATCTTTTTTAGTATTATCACGCTCGTAGGACAAAGAAAAAAAAGCAGAGTACCCACATGACTTACAAGACTACATTTTTTTTTCATCTTTCAGTTACAATTAACAAACAAATTTAAAAAACTTTTAAAAACTCCTAGACTCCCTCATCCCATTTTCCTGGTCTGTCATGCTTGCTTTTTATAAGTAACTAATGATGATATTGATTAAGCTTTCTTCACCCCACCCCCAAGGCTCTAGTCTTCCACTGACGCCCACCCCCCCACCCCCCTCAATGGTGGTCAGTTTTCTAAAGTCCATCCTTTTATACTCTATTAGCGACAACTGATCTCAGCTCCGTTCCCCCTGAACGAAATCGATATGGTATTGAGCAAACACATCATCTGGATTTTCGTTTTTATGACAAATTTAATGCAGTACATCTCTAAGGAACATTTCATACAATGTCAACTTGTGAAGCGATCCTGACTTTTTCGGAAAGATATCAGCTTATCCATATTCAAGTACAACCTTTGATAAAGATTCTGAGGTCTTAATCAACCCCTTATTAATGGCATCTCGTTAAAAAAAATGTAATAATTTCGAATTTTTAAGTGGGCTCCTAAAAAAATTTTATGGAGTAAATGTGCCTTACTGTTTATGAAAGACGTTCGGGGAAGCAACCAAAACAAAGAATATCAAATAACAACGAATTTCTATAGAGTAAGAAAAGCCAGTGGAGCAAAGGGAAAATGTTATAATTATGCATTTTAAAACGGCTACCTTAAAGTGACATGAACCAGTGAGAAAGAAAACACCAAGAATATCAATTACCATCTAATTTCGAAGAAGTAAAGAAAAACGTCGTGGAACAAAGTGTCAGTAACCGATCATTAAGTATTGAAAAAACGGATATTTTAAGGTGGCATCAACCAATGACAAAGGACACCACGGTGTGGTCTTGAATATTGTTTTTGATGCCCACTTAGAGAATTGTATGAAACGATTGTGTTCAATTTTTTTCTGAAAGATCCTGAAGGAAGCGATTAAAAATAAAGAATATCAATCGCCTACTAATTTCTCAGAAGTAACTTCTTCTGAAGTTCTACTATTCATTGATTTTCACGCTCGGCCAGGTTTACAATGAATACCAGAACTTGTGCTCCACCGTTTACATAGTAATCGTGACCTTCCCCCAAGGGCTGTTACTCGCGTAACAAGGTATTTCTGTTTCTTTTTTCTCCTGCAAAGGCTTCAAGCGGAAATGAGAGAAAAAAAGGAAAGGAAAAGCGTAAACTCTGCCTTAAACCATAACTTTTGGACTTATTTTATTATAAAGGCGTTGTGCAGCCTAGTCTCGAGGGGCTAGGTCACGTTATGAGCTTTCACAGTTGAGCTCTCTCAGTGCCATGATTTCAAAAGCTCTCATTAATTTGTTCCCTCCAGTAATCCACGAGAAGCAGAGCGCGTCTTTACAAAATCCGAGAATCTCAAGGTGTCTTAGTCATATACCTTTGGGAATGAGCGAGATAACGGTAAAATGTAGAAATTTTTGCTCCGATCGTTTCCTATGAGTTTCAATAAATTTCAGGGCTTTCCCTCACATCGAAGACAATTATTTGAAGGTCGTGTAGTTAAGAGGGATGGACACCTTATGGTAGTTACATAATATATTAAGCCAAAGTCGCGTGAACTGGGAACGAGACGTCCCACCATGCACTTGTAGTGTCAAACACGAGGACGGCCATGTTGAGGTGACAGTCAAAATTTTACTTTTTCTTTGAGCAATTCTTCAAAATTTGTTTTTCGTTTTGGTACAATGTCGTATCATCCGCCTCCACCGCAACCACTGGGTGCTCCTCCAGCGGGAATACATCTTCCGCCAGGGTTACCACCTCCTGGTAGTTTACCGGGCGGACTTCCCCCCCCACCACCGTTCCCCGGACCTCCTGGCTTTCCGCCACCACCGATGCCTCCTCCGGGTACAACAGGTGAGCAAAAACAAAAAACTTGACGTTTAGAATGCCTTTGTAAGTAGCCTCTTGAAACTGTTTAAGTCTCGAAGATTGTGGTGGCGTAGATGCAGGAGAAGGTTTGGTTAAAAAAGCTACTCAGCTGTGCTTAAGTTTACAACTTGTTGGGGACGAATCATGGGATTGTTGCATTTATGGACTTGTTTTCTTGCTATAGAGATGTACTGATTCAAACCACTGTACAGAAATTTTGTTCGATTGATAATGGCCTTGATTAAAGAAACAGCCATGTCTCTTCTCGTTGTGCTTGCATGTAAAAAGGCAAGACTGGTTTACGAACGTGTTTCTCATATAATTTGCAAGGTGACTTTCAGCATGAAGAGTTCACAGCCTAACTTTCATCAGGTTAAGACTGGAGTATTGAGGTGAAGAATTGCGATAAAACTTTCTGGTGTTCCTTTCTGACTAATCACTTTAATTCCTCAATTCTTTGTTGCTTTTATAACCTTTTTGAAATGGTATATGACGATAATCTTAAGACATTTCTTTTTTCTTTTTGTGCAAATGATTTACCCATGTTACTTCAGGTTCAGTAGAGGGGGAGATAGAAAATTTAGTGGTTTGTTTCCTTAGACATTTCATAGTTCCCCATTTCCTCAACAAATTTTACACTTTGTTCCTTACTCCCTTGAAGTAAACAGATTAGTCTCCAAGCACCCCTCATAATAGTCATCTTAAACTAGAGGTTTAACTCTTTGTTGTTAATGTTGGATTGTTGAGGAGTAGACAGTTGTTTCTATGAAGAATTGATGCAAACATTTGAAAAAAAAATTTTATGGAAAGCATAAAGAGACCTCATAAGTGGGTTTGCATATCAAATAACTAGCTTTTATTGGAATCTCAGGAAAGTTTGACATTGCAACCATTTTATCCCCAAGATCTTATAACTAATTTTCCTTACTATCTGCCATACAATTCTTATGAGGTCAAATGAATAACGGTGGTAAGTTTCTAAAGAAACTGAGGTGCTGCGTTGGTAGGAGAGTAACAGGGTAATTTAGTATAATCTATTGAGTTGATAATGTAAATTGGCCACCATAAAGAGTTAAAAAGCTGACGTTTTGAGTTTTAGTCCTTTGTTAGCTTGGAGAATTTAGCATGGAATCGACTAATAATCCCCTACTTGATGTTTTTGTTCCTTCTCATTACTTATTTGCTTGATGTTGTATTGATATTGTAAGGAGAATATCTCTCTTTGGTCACCCATGGAAGTTAAAAGAGAGACATGTAACATATTTTTTCTGTTAATTTTATGTTGAATCAACAGTCCCACCAACAATACCAACCAAACCTCCTATTGCTGTACCAGGAGTACCTCCTTTAGGAGTCGTAAGTATCCATGTAAATCTTTTACATGCACATGTTCACTTGCTCTCATGTTTAGCATCTTTGAGTGTTACCAACAGTGTTACATTACATGTAGCAACAGTAAAACCTTGATAAAACTCTGGACATGCATAAGCCAATGTAGTTTGGGAATAACATTTTTTTAATTTTATTTTAAAATTTGATGAGTGGTAATACTTAAGTTATTATTTATTTATTTGTTTTCAATCTTTAGCCCCCAGGTTTACCACTTCTTCCCACTCCAACAGCTCCGTCAGGACGAACACCATACAAACATGAAAATAAACAGAATAATAACCAGGTGAGTAGAGCCATGTTTTCTTCATTTTTGTTCTATCACACTGCACATGACTTTGTGTTCTATTTATCACCCTTTGCTCTCAGGCCCTGCTTTTGTTTAGTTATACTCTTGTAATGCCAGTTTTAAAATTAGTTATTTTGCTGCTGGTGTTTTGGATTAGCTGTGGCCTTACTTACAGGACTTCAAACATCAATATTTTTTATAACAACACATCAAAACTTCCTCTTGAAAAATTTTAATCCTTGAAAGACACTTTTCTGCTTTGTGTTAGATAGTGTTATGAGGAAATTTAACCCTTTAACTCCCATGAGTGACCAAGACAGAACTTTTCCTCACAATATTGATGTAATATCAAGCAGATAAGTGATGAAAATAAAGAAAAATATCAATTTGGGGATAATTAGTTGATCCAATACTAAATTCTCTGAACTAACATAAGAATTGTATGGTTGACAGTAAGGAGAATTACAAATTTAATCTGGAAGTTAAAGAGTTAAAGGAATAGTAACCGTTCTTGTAGTTGAAGAAAACTAATATTGTGCATGTATTCTGTAACTTCAGAATCAAAACCAAGCAAATTCAACCTCGACAACAACAGTGTTTGTAGGTAACATAACTGAAAGAGCTTCTGATGCACTTATTAGACAAATTTTAACGGTAGGTGAAACTCCTTTGGTTTTGAAATAATCTTGTTTATAAATGTTTTTGCTGCTTTTATTAAGTGGCCCAAATGGAAAACTCCTGTCCTGAGGGTTCTGTTGTGTTTTTTTTTTGTTTTTTTGTTTTTTTTTGTATTTTCACTGTGAGAACAGAAATGTGGTGTAGTAGTGAACTGGAAACGGGTACAAGGAGCCAAGGGAAAGTTACAGGGTGAGTGGACATTTATTGATTGTGGATAATTCATTTGTAGATGATGGAATGTAAATAGGAGTGCTTTATCAAAAGCTCTCTCATGGCAGGAATTAAACTTAACAGCCAGTACCTTCTACAAAGTGTAAAAAATTTTGTCCTCAATATAAGTGATGATTTGATAAATAGGTTTCTAATTTCAGCATTTGGATTCTGTGACTATGGAGATCCAGAATCAGGTCTACGATCAATTAGATTACTTCACAACAAAGTATTAGGAGACAAGGCATTAGTTGTAAGTAAATCCTTCGCTTCAGTTGTTCCTCAAATTTTGTGTAATATTTGTTATATACCGTCTTAGTTAATGTTCCGCACCTAAGATATGCTGTTCTTGTGAAGATGCAGTGCAGTCACCCAAACAAACACAAACAAAAATGAAATAGAACAATCTGTAGTGCAGTTTGCTTTGTGTGATATTTGTTTCATTTGTCTGCTTGGTTCCACTAGTCCCAATTGCTCTTCCGGGTAGCCAGTACTCTAATTTCTTTTTTATAAGTAATATTACTTGTAATTTAGGGTAAAAAGAAAACTAGAGATTGTGGTTGATTTATTCCATACTGTCCAGTTCTATGCTAAATTGATTTTATCTGTTGTGAAGGTGAAAGTGGATGCAAAAACGAAGACTTATCTCGATGAATACAAAGCTGAGAAGAAAAAAGAAATGAAAAAGGTAGACAGAAATCTCAGTCATGCAAGCCTATGCATGTTTGATGGGCACACTTTGGTGGAGACTTTGAAGGCAGTAAAAATTTTTTTCGTGTAGAATGCCGAGGAAAAGAAAAAAGAGGACGGAGAGGCTGATGATGATGAAGATGATGATAATGATGATCTTGATGGCGAAACCCTGGTAAGTGACGACATTTTGTCATGAAAATTCTCTGCTTTTGCTAAATTTTTCAACTGTATTATATTTCTCAAAATGCATAGGACTCTAAACTTTTACAATTGTGCATACAGAATATGAGCTGATCACAGGTATATGTACTGTGTATCTACACCTGTACCACTGAGAGTGTGTGAAGTGTTGCTGGTAATTTTATAAGATCTTACAGGCAGTATATTACTTAAGTTAAGCATGGTAGTAATGTTTTCAACTGATGGAATAGCTCACTCTGCCATGTATAATTTTTTAAAAAACTTTTTTTTACAGGTAGAAGATACAAGAGTCAAGAAAGCCATTGAACAAATCATTTTAGAGCATTCTGATATTTTAAACAGGAAATTAGAAAGTATGTGGTTCTGGAATAATTCTCGAAAAAATATGCTCTACTGTATGTGGTATTTCCAAAGGATGCTATTTATTGTGGTTTGGTTGCCATTGTACAAATAATGATAACAAAGTCCCTTTACCTTCTAACCCAGCCTTCCTCAACCCTTTACTCTCTGTTATCAGTATGCATATTTTCTTTACTACTCCCTAGACATTTCCTAGGGTTCTGACGAGAATAACTTGTTCAACAATTGAGAGATTCTTTAGTTGGTGATCATCTCCTTTATCCTCATGACTTTAATGATTGATTCAGGGGCTATTTTGTAAGGAGAAATTAGATGTTAGTCACTCTAAGGGGTTAAAGGATGAAGCAAATCACAGTTGATATTCCAGGTAATTGTTCAACTGATTGACCCCTAAGCGTGACCAGTATGTCATTTCTCCTCTTGTTATCACCCTGGAATCAAACATTATGGCCACCAGAACTGAGGAAATGATCACCAAGTAGTTAAAGCTCTTGATTGTCAAACAAATTCTCCTTGTCAGCACCATAAGAAATTTATAGAGAAGAGTGTGGAGAATGTGCTATCTGATGTTAGGATGTGAAGGGTTAAATCCTCTTCTGTAGTGTCTTGATACCATTTTATATCAAGTAACATGAACATTTTGTGAGTGTTCATTGTGCAGATTAACACTTTCTTCTGTTTTTCAAGAGTTACTTTCTTTTCCTGTGATGACTGAAATTTGTGCAGGGGAATAATTTTAATGATTTTTTTTCTTTTCAAGTGGGAAGATTTTTGTTGAAAACCTGCAAAATTTCTTGCTACATATAGTAGAAATATTCCATCAACAAATATTTTTTAATGTTCCCTGTTTCGAAGTCCATCCACTATTCAAAACATGAGAAGTAGGCTTGTATGACCATTTGAAAGAGAAAGTGCTTCTTCATGATGTGTATTTTGCTTTTCTTTGTCAGGTGAACCTTACAGAGCTACACACAGTGGTTCAGAGGTGTGTGCCAACTATTCTGAAACTGTAGGGCTCAATTTTGTCTTTTGACATTTAACTATAAGAGAATGTTTCCTTTTCCATTGGTGTCCACTAAATTACAGGTTTTATTTCATGTACATTAAGTTTATTTGCCCAGTAACAATTGCTTTTAACTCCCAAACAGAGAGGGACCGGGGAAGTCATAGCAGGGACATTTCACAGTCTACTCTGAAAAATCTGTCAGCTTTCCCAAATGCTTGTGCCTCATCTTTCTTCTTGGAGGCATGATATTGTAAGGCTACTTGGTATCACAGACCCATGACTCAAAATTTTTTTGACCACCTTGAGTGTCTAGCCAGAGACCCACAGATACTTGAAATATTAAGAAATTAGCTGAATAAACCTTTTTTATGAATAATTAATCTGTAAATGTCTCACAAGTGCCTTATCTTAGTGTATTTTTAATTTGGTACAGGCTATTGAAACAGGAAGTGTACATGTTGGAGTGAAAAATTTGGATGGGCTAGTGTTTGTACAGGTGTCTCTATGCCACCACAGAACTGTAATTGTCTGTCTTGCTAATGTCATTTTTTGCTTATTTTCAGCAAAATTTGGAAGGTTTGGATATGGACAATGAAAAGAAGAGCTTAGTGTCACGAGAGATTAGAAGCTTCAGAGATACTTACAGAGTAAGTTCACTTCTTTTTGGACTTAATCTTAATTACTGCTTCTTCTCACTGGTAGCACAAACAGGGACACATTGGTGTTGATGTCAACCCACATGTTGTTTATGTTGCAAGTGTTCCACTCACTAATTTACAAACAAAGTGCATAAGAAATCAGCCCTACCCAAATTGATAAGCAGTAAATAAGCCAACGTTTAATGAGAATTATTGTTGACACTAAAAACAGTTTATTGATGAGTTGGTGAGATTGGTCGATTTCCTCTTCTGCATTTTCTGCTTCTAGGATTTGAACTGGTAAGTAATTTTAGAAAAATTTTTTTGATGATCATAAATACACTGTATGTGGCATACTGTGGCTAGAAAAGTTTTCGTTTTCTGTGGTCGTGAATGTTGTGTAGGGTCAGATACGTTTTTGTGTTTTACCGCCACTGCATGTTGTATTGTTCACTTTTGAATCATTATAGCTGTCTGTTATTTATTGTAAAGTACCTGACTGGACGCCAGATTGTAGTGAGTTCAGAAATTTCCAACAAAGTAAGGATATTATCCCATTGAATACAGCAAATTAAGTCAAGGCCATGGATCTCCAAGGGGTACTATTAGTAAGTTTAGTGGGCGAGAAAGGATACGGAGGGTTGGGCAATTGATAGAAGTTGATACGAAGGAAAGAGAGGGAGGCCAGTGTAGGTCGTGGCATTAATTCCTATCAGTTAGTCGTCGGATCAAGTAATCGTGTTCAAGAGAATATTTCAAGTGTTAACTGGAGTGGTAACATATTTCAAACCTTCAGTGCACGGTAAGTATTGTGTTTGTTTACTCTTGTTAAGAGTGTGTCGCTGCAATGTGAAGCCGGTCTCGTTAGAATGTCTCACAGGTGTACATTGTATGTGGAAACAGTTGTTACTCTTTTGTCTTTAACAGATGTAGCTGAGATCGTTGAAGAAGAAAACTGACATAGAGAGAGAGTTGTTGTGTCGAGGTGTAGAGTTGAATTTCGACTACCTGTGGTCAATTTTTTTTCGGAAAGTACTCGAAGACAACATAGTTTTTGCTGACTGTCGTTGTGTTTAAACGAACAGGACATCGTCACGTTAAATGTTATGAAGGAACGTCGCAGCTCAACTTTGTGTTTTTTTTCATTCGTGTTTTTCAGAGAGAGGACAAGAAAAAGGAAGAAGAGAAATCGGAGAGGAAAGACAAAGACAGGGACAGAGACAAAGAACGAGAAAGGGATCGAGAGAAAGACCGAGATCGAGACAGGGACCGGGACCGAGACAAGGACAGAGAACGAGAACGCGAGAGAGAAAGAGAAAGAGAAAGGAAGCGTGAGCGTGAGGAAAGGGAACGTCGAGAAAAAGACCGTGAACGCGACGATCGTGACCGTGATCGTGATAGAGATCGTGATCGTGAGAAGGCGCGTGAAAAAGAGCGGGAGTCTGAACGTGACCGAGAAAAGGAACGTGAATATGACGAAGATGAAGAGCTGGATAGACGACAGCGAGAGAGAAGACAACGGGAGAAAGATGCCTCTTACCAGAAGGTTGGTTAACTTCTTCACCTCAGTATTCATGAATTTAAATATCGCGCAATTTTTCAATCTTAATGGATTGAATGATTAAAAAAATTACGCTCACATAATTATAGTAGGGGAGACCATCTTAGTTTTTGGGAAGAGTGTTTCAGAAGAAACTGTTTGCACTATGGGTTAAGTACAGATGAAGTTGGATGTAGAAGCAGCTTGGCTAAAATCTCGACCGTTGAAGACTAAGAATAAGAAAGTTTTTGTATATTTCAAATCTGAGAGCAGTTACAAACCACTACAATTTCCTTACCGTTCTATTTCAGCGGTTGAAAACATGGGAAAATAGAGAACGTAAAAGAGCTCGGGAATATGAACGAGAAATGGAAAAAGAAGGCGAGAAGAAAGATGAACAGGTGAGAATATATCTGGACCCAGTTGTTGGAAGAGTAGACAACGCTTTCCATCGGATAAATCTCTGTCCAGTGGTCAACATTACTTATCCGCTGAATAGCCGCGATTTATCCGGCACTGTACTTACTACATTGTACCATATGTCACGCTTCAAGTGATGCTTGTGAACTCTTCGAAAACGGTTTCGATCTGACTTGAGTTTGAACTGAAAGTTTACAGCGTTTACAAAAGCTATCTAGGTATACATGACTTCAGCTAATTCTGTTTTATATCATTCCCAGGCACGTGAGAGGAAGCATTTACAGGAATTTCTTGAAGATTACGATGACGACAAGGACGATCCAAAATACTACAAGTAAGTGAACAGTGCAGAGAAGGAACATTTTCAGTATGTCACGATTGGTGCATTTTGCAATCCACGTCAATCCTTCTTAGCCCTACTCAGTCTCGTTCCTTTGTTGTTCGTTCGTTCAAGAGAATGGTGTCCTCTCTAACCTAATAAATATTTTTGGCTGCATTCACGTGGAAGGTAATATTGCAGCGGGCAATTCGAGATATCAAGACATAGCGCGTTTTGATCGTAAAGGGTTAAACGAACAGTTTTTTCTCTGCCTCTGAAGTCTTAGCGGCCACCCAGCATAATAAATGGAGTAGCTGCTGGTCAGCATGCCTTGTCTGTAGGCTAACCCTGTCTAAAGTTCCTTCAGAGCAAGAACTATAGACTTACTTGATACAGACGCACAACGAACACCCAAATTCCAACCAAACCAAAACGCTGTTACTCGCCTTGTGTAACCTCCTGTTATTAGGTCACTGTGTATTGCACTTTCATCTTTAACCAGTCACATTTTTACTTGAAGGGGAAGTGCGCTACAGAGACGGCGACGCGAAAGAGAAATGGAGGTAGAAACAGACGAACGAGATCGCCAGCGAGAAATGGAGGAAATAGAAGAGATTAGAAAACAGATTGTTGATAATCGGCCTGAAGATATGGATGAACAGGTGAGATCTCTTTCGTTTGGCTTAAAACTCACTCATACAAGTGATAAACTTGTACTTTCTCCTCACAATTCCAATACATTGTTTGGTAAACAGGTAATGAGATTGGAAATTTGTATCAGTCAGGGTGATATCACTATAGAGCAAATTGTAAAGGCAAAAGTACCAAAAAAAGTGATATAAAAAAGGATTCTAAATGCAAAGCAGCAGGAAAGAAGAATTACTTATCAAATCTGGGAGTAAATAATTCTCCAATAGCAGTATTAACAGGTTTCGGCGTTTAGAACTGGATTTTTTCCTCTTGAGTCTGTGTGTGGGTATTCAATGTTGAAGTCATGTAAACACGGTTGTCTTTTATAAAGATTTTTAGATGCGGTAAAGTTTGGTGCAGTTGGTTCAGAGAGCGTTCGAAAAAATTGTTGATTCTCATTTGTTGAATGCATTATAACCTTCAAGAGCGTTCCCTTTTTGTTTAAGTTGCTAAATTAGAAGCGTTATGAGTAATGTGTAAATCCTTGCAATTATAAGGAAGAAAGGGAACTAATACTTTCTATTACCGACTGTCAACGGCGTCCTTGTCCTTACTGAGTTAGCAGTTCATCATGTTATTTTCCAGGACGGTAAGGAGAGTGAGAAGGAGGAGGAAGTCAAACCGGCTTTACAACCGACTTTCAAGCCAGCCGTGATATCACAACCTCAGCCGGTAAGAGGAAACATTTTCATCCTCTTCATCTTGTGTGTCATTTTCTTGTTTTGCACAGTAATGATCCATCGTATGAAGGAAGGGTGCAGAGAACGTGTCTTTAGGCTAGAAGTCTTGTTTGATGTAACAGCAGAACTTCGCATGGAGGGAGTGAGAAAGCAGCCTGTATGGCAAATAAAATGAGAAAGCAGCCAGTATGGCAAAGAAAATGAACATCTTAGTTTGTGTGAAAAACCCGACAACTTCAATCCCCCCTCTCCCGCCCCTCCCACCCCTCCTTTTTAAGTCGACCCGTTCGTTGTTCTAACTTTTAAAATAGATTTTCACCAGCCTTGTGATTGTCTAGTTTGTACCTCAGGTCGAACCTGCTCCTATATCGAATTGGTCACCAAGCCCCAGATCAACCGACTCGATGTCACCAGTCACTATCGGCATAAAAAGAGGGCGAGAGAATGGGCAAGAGCCAGAATCGGAAGTTGAACCAGCTCCTAAGAAGGCGTTTGGATTTGAAATGAAGCTGAGTAGTAACATGGTAAGAATATTGAAGAATGTCTAGTCAGTTTCATTCTCATCTTCTTGTTTAGATTAACTAGTTTATGACCAAGCGAATAATTTGCCCCAGTGGAACGGTCTGGAGATATTTTTAGGGTATTCAGCAAGAATGTATACAAAGGACCTAGAAATGCCTATGATGGAGAAGATCAACAAAGATTACAAATAACGAACTGAAAATAACTAGATGGAAAAGATGGTCGAAACGTGACGGGGCACCTTCGACTCGTTGAGTAAATTCCTCCACCCTTTTTTAAGAAGTATGGCTCTACCGGCAACCTTACGGTAGGCTTGAAATGTGCATATAGAAGCATCGCTGAAGCACAGCTTTGTAGTTAACTGCAGTACTGCAAAGGTCTGAACAACAGTATAAATTAAGGAAGATGTTTTTTCGTCTTGTCACAAGCGTGGGATAAAGAAAAATTCTGAGTCCCCAAGAGGAATCGAACCTCAGACCTTCGGATTTGCGCTCCGATGCTCTACCACTGAGCCACAGAGACTCTTCGGTGAGCGAGGTCTATTGCGAAGTTCTTATAACACACGTCCTGTATACTGCTAGGATCAGCAGTGTCGATAGCGTAATGTTTTTGATAGAAATAGTACAGATGGTAAGTTTTGAGCTCACGCTCGTGACTAGACGAAAAAACATCTTTCTTAATTCTTCACCGAGCTCAAAACTTACCATCTCTACTATTTCTATCAGTATAAATTAACTTTTTGGTTCCTAGCACCTTTTTCTTTCAAGCACATTCTAAAAAGGCGCTTTGTGATTGGTTGTCGCGAAACCAAGTGCTCAGCGACTAATCGTGCCAATGAGCAAAGTGGCCGAAGCACGATTGCTCTCGGTTTGCAACTGATTATTTGAGTAAAAAGCGCTTCTTTTCGAGACCAATCACATAGCATAGTAAAGCAAAACCAATGCATTCTAGGATTATTACTCTTTGTTGAAAATTACTCTGAAGTGAGAAATTATTCTAAGTAATGGTTGATCTTGTCAACAGCCCTCGAACCAAGCGAGTCGTAAAAAGCTGGAGTCAGTCTTTGGCGGAGGTGACGATGACGACGGAACAGGAGTGACTCCTAAGCGGAAACTGGTCAAACTGGACGAGGACGATATGGCTAAGGATGACAGTAACGAGGCTGAAGATAAGAAACGGATTATTAAGTCGCTTATAGAACGTATTCCTACTGCTAAAGATGAACTGTTTGCTTATAGCTTGGACTGGACTATGATCGACCAGGTTAGTGTGTTGTGCTAAATGTGAAGATTGTATTTCATTTCAGTTGGAACGGATAGCGTTTATCTCTTCGCCCGGCAGGGACGTCTCACTGAAGGATTATGTAAGAGTAACACTGCCTTTAGTTTGATGTAAGACGTATTTTCTCGAAGAAATGTCTCCCTGGTGCCCTTATGTTTTGAAATTATTGGATCGTCAAGAAGTGTAAGCTTCAAAACACCTGCTTAGAAATACTTTCTTGACGAGGATAAGAAGTCCCAAGGAATGACATTTATCGAGAAAATAAAAGGAAACAAACTCCAAAGCGTTTTTGAAATGAGCTGGAATGTATGCGTTCAGAAACAAAGCATTTTAGTTTAAGGTGGCTCTGTGTGCTCGGCAAGTCTCATACCCGTGATTTCATTGGACGCTCGGAGCATCACGGTATGTAAGTACAGTTTATATCACTAACTAACAGTAGGGCTGAACCCCAGGTCTTGCGCCAGTAGATAGTTATACATAGGTTATTAAGTGAGATCTGGGGCGAGGCTGTAATCACGTGCTTGATTCGATTTCTAAACTTTAAAGTGGTTTATTTTAGGGTCTTGTAGATCGCAGGATACGTCCTTGGGTTAATAAGAAAATTATCGAGTACATTGGCGAAGAGGAGCTGACCTTAACAGATTTCATTTGTAGCAAGGTAAGACATTCAGATGCGCTCTTTTACACAGTTAATTTATCTTTGAATATAATGTTCACCTTTCCACTCCCAAATTCTCCTTAGTAATTTTTCTGACTGTATCCATAAAATTCTTATGATGTTAATTTGGAGAGTTTTATATGGGTTCAACTAATAATCCCCTAGTGGTATAATTATTCTTAATTCTAATCACCTGCCTGCGTAATACTGTATCGATGTTGTAAGGAGAAATGCTGTCATGGTAACTCATGAGAGTACAAGGGTTCATGGAGCGCTGCAAAACAGAGGCAAAAAACGTATTTGGTCCTGAAATTAATAGTTTTTTTTGTTCTTTGATCTTTATTGACTTGGTTTGTTTTGTTTTTTCAGGTCATAGCTAGAAGTTCGCCAAAACACATCCTTGAGGACGTCTCTATGGTAAGTAGAGTTGTTATGTTTGCTTCTGGTTATGTTCAGATAAAAAAATCGTGATTTAGAAGAATTTAGTTACATTTCAACAAATGTCAACTTTCATTAGGGTTTTCCGATATAAGTTTTAACTGATTGAGAGGAGGTGACAACTACAAGGTCAGGGAAAGATCGTTGTCTGTCACAGAGAGACGGCTGTTATCCCGATTTTTTTTTACTGAAATTACAGACCTGTAAAAATTATGCATAATAAAGAAACATTAAGACAATTATAAAAAGTCTCGAAAAGTTGTCAATTCTTTTACAAGCGCTTTATTTGGTAGTGAAATGTACTTAGTGAATTTTTGTTTTTGTCAAAATGCTCTTCAAAATTAAACGATTTATCTTCATCTTGTATTTGCTGTCTTGCAGACTCCGCTAACTTAGAGTGCATTGTGCATTCATACTTTACGTGGAGAAAATACTTTTTTTTTCTTGAATGCTATTTGGCTTTACCCTGGTATAACAGCGAATTCTCATTTCTCATCGGCAAGGAAATAAATAGCTGTTACAATGAAGAGAATTACTAGTCAGGTCCTTGGAGTAATGTTAGAACGCAAAGAAGCAATGTAACATCCTTTAGCAGTTGACATTGTTCCTTGAACCCTTAACGTGTTATTAGATTTCTAATCAGCTTTAAATGACCGACTGTGTTATGATATTATTTTGTTCTGTGTCTGTCTTCGGGGAAGGCCGTAGGCAGACTGACATTTCTCTGCCTAGCAGTATCTGGCCGAATGTAAGTTTGTTGTTTTTTCTATTTCACAGGTCCTGGATGAAGAAGCAGAGGTTTTTGTGGTCAAGATGTGGCGCCTTCTCATCTACGAAACAGAGGCTAAGAAGCTGGGGTTGGTCAAATGATCCTGTTGTTATAGTATTTGTTATCAAATCTTACTTCTACTTTTCACCTTTGTATTCTTAAATTAATGAAAAAAGAACTGTTGAGTGATGTAAATATGTTGCAATACGTCCATGATTGTGGAGTCCACTCCTTTTACCTTCTCTCTTTTTTTTTTCTCCTTTTGGGTAGACTCCAGGCTCTCTAAAGATTAGGCTTGAATTTCCCAGACAGCTCATTTCCACAAGGCAAACACATTTGAAAACTCTTAACCCTATCACTCTCTGAAGTGATCATTGCTAGATTCTCCTGACTTTCAGATGGACTTAATCTACACGGTAAAACGAAGTATTCGTGGATAGCCAACAGAAAAATCGGTAGATTAATAGGAGAATTAGCATTGAGATGAAGGGTTACCTACGTTAGTTATCTTACTGTTTCCTCGGCTCGAGTTTGTGTACTTCTGCAAGCATACAATAAAATTGGGAGATACTAAGTGCCCGTCCAACCTTGTTCCAAGCTCTTAGCCTCACAATCGTTGTGAGGAGTCTGGAAACAAGGTTGCATAGGCTGCCTAACCATAAGTAAATAGAGACATTATCAAGCAAACGACAAATGAGAAAGATGGAATACATTCAGCCTAAAGTAGGAAAAGATTACTGGTAATATTCCATAGGAGGCTACGTGTAAATGAAGAAGTAATCAAATGAAAGTCGAGTGTAAACAGAAAGATTATTGCAAGACTAGAAATTCTAAACCATCTCACTTTCGTCTGATTTGAATGTCAAATGCAAGTGTGTTTTCTCAGTTGTTTAAATAAACGAGCTGCCTAAAGTATTTCAGTGTATAGTTTTTTGCATCTTATCCGTCAGTTTGTTCTTCGATGTTAAATTAATCGTGAGCCCGTGTTTGGTTACCGTAGAAACACGGATGCAGCATCTCTTTTTATCTTGTAAAATGAAAAACCAGGGTTGTAAAAAGAATCTTTTTTTAAGAGAAAAGCACATTGATTTGCTTGCAAATTCCCATTTTACCAGAATATCTAAGTTCGGAACTGGAGCTGAACTATTTATTAATTTTTTTACCTTCAATTTTGGCGTGAAAACTTTCCCAAGATATTCTTAAATTTATGTCGTATTGTCTTACCCAGCATCAATACGTTGCCTTTTTTGGATAAATTTAAAGTAATTACTTTAAGTACAAACCAAGTATGACCAAAAATTGAGATGTTCTTCAATGTATCATGCAATAGCAAAAAAAAGTTGCAAATGCGGACACAGAAAAAAATCTAACCCCAAGGATTGGGTTGATTGTCTCCTTAAAAGTAAAATTCACAATTATTTAATCTTGAATTCTACCTCTCCATCGGAGAAATGAATGGGTTAAATAAAAACGCTCTTAACTGACTCATTGTGTATTTTTTCATGAACCAATTACAAAGAACGTACATTACTACTATTTCCCTTTAAGAGTGTGCATGCATAAAGAATTTTACTACGTGTCATCTTACTGCGTATCCCCCTCCTCCTCCTTCCCCATTCCGAGCCCCTCTCAAAATCCCCACGGATATATTTTTTTTCTTCTTTTTGATGAAAAGAGATGATGATGTAACCATTTCGATGCATAGTTTCAAAGAAAAACAAATAGAACATAATTATGTAATACTTTTATTTTCTTCACCTATGAAGGATAATGCAAACTCAGTTTGGAAATCGCACTTCAATTCAGTCCTTTTTCTCTGACTTCTTTCCTTTCAAACTAAGCCATCATTAAAATTTGTTCAAGAATCCTTGTCCTTGGCAATTTAGGCTGAGGTTTCCTCATATTATACTTTTCATGGCGAAAATGCTAAGGTTTCCTCAGATTGTAAATTTCGTGGTAAAATGGCTTTATACTGAAAAGAAAATTTGATCAAGGGTTAAACTTGATATGTACATCTGTGAAGCCAGGTATAGTTTTGAATGGTTCTTTTGTTTAGATTATTTTAAGTTAAATTCAGTATTTAGAGATGCGTTCAATTTTCGTCCTTGGGAAGCAGATGGGGCAGGAAGTTTTGAAGAAGCTGTAAGGCACTGAGGAGTCCGCCATGTTTGTTCCGTAACAGGTAAGCCTTTTGGTAAATATCTACGAGCGCCAACAATCTGAAAACGGACAAATTATAATGTCACTATCTAGTGAATCGCTCTACACGCCGGTTATAAGATGAGAACTCACAAGAATGTTTGGTCATCCACACTGTTACATGTAAATACATATACTAACAAATATTCTTAAAAGTGCACATTCCGACATACTCATTGCTATAACTCAATTATGCTTAAAGATACGACACTACACCGCGACAACAAGAGGAATGAGAAGATCTAGTAGGAAGCCATTAAACCCAGCAATGGAATGTGTCAATTTTGCTTAAGTAAGTAAGCACTGTCAGGTAGCCTCTCGAACAACGGTGACGTTCGAGACATGCACGCAAGGGTCACCCTCGGTCTCTTCTTCTGAGTGGAATAGCGGACAGCTTAGATAATTATTAGTTTTGTCAGTGAAAACGATTTAAGAAATAAATGAAAGTAAAAAGATCGTACTTTGACTCCCAAAGTTTTTATCTTGATCTTACGCCAAATTCTCGTAACTAATTTACAAGGAATTGTACAGCAGCAAGAGGAGAGAGTTAACAATCAGATCTTGGGAGTTGAAGGGTTAAGTGAGGAAAACTAAGTAGAATTTAACACACGTCCAAGCAGAAGCGTTAACTGTTCCTCTCTGTCCCTCATTTTCTCGTCATGACAGTCGTTTCTTTTTTTCGCCTCTTCTTCCAAAATTGTTTGACCCTTGTCAACGCTGTTTCAACATGAATTTTGAATAAGGACTCGAACCATTTTTCTCCTTGGTAGTTTTTGATCCTGAGATAGCGACAGCCAAACGAAATCGAAAAGCAACCAGGGTCGATACAACATAGCACTGAGGCTAAATGTGTCCATACAGAGCTTAAAAGAAGAGTTTAGCAGAAGTACTACAGTACATGTTGAGCTTACTTGTTTGCTAGGTCTGTTTTGGTGATGGCTGGAAGATCCTTTAGAGAAGTGCTTGAATTTTGCTTTTTGTTTAAAATCAGCGACCGACAAATCCTAGAAAAAGTGTTCAATCAGGAAAGGTAAAGATAATGACTGAAGTAATGACATGGCCACACGAGGCCAGTTTCGTTGATTTTACGAGTCATTGACAAAGTAAAAAAAAAAGAAAACAGAAGGTTCCCACCCGGATTCGAACTCAAGTTATCATGTTCTGTAGACTAGAGCGGGCGCTCGCTTCAGGACTATTGAGCCGTTAGCCTCCTTTAATAAATTAATAGTAAGAAAGTAAATAATTGGTACATCACCTAGTGGTAAATAATAATATTTCAACCAAAACTTCAAGTTCCTTTATAATCTCTGTTTTCTGTTTACATTTGAGTTCCGCTGCTATGAACGTCTTGTGACAGTTTCGTATCTGACGCACAGCTCTCTATAAAATGGAGAAAAAAATCAGTTGTTAAATTGAACAGGAGAATGTGGTAGGTGAAAAATCTCTTAGTCAAAAGCTTGCTTTTCAGTGTACTCCAACTGCCGCACAGGCTGTTAAAACAGACGGTTACAGAATAAGTCTGGAAACAATTTTCAAAGCGTACTTGAAAATGGAAAGAGGGAAAGGAAAGTAGTAAAGCACCTGCTTAAAATTTGACTAGGCGGAAAGGATAGTCAAAACAACCTCCCATATCTCAAAAAAAAAAAAAAAAAAAACATTTAGCTTCTTAGTACCTGTAGACTGTCCGAAGTAACTTTGTCAAGATTACACGAGCCTTCAGTCTCCAGCAGTCGCCACAGCAGCTGACTTCCCGGACCTTGCGCAACAGGATGAACCCTTCTGTTATCACTTGGGACACGTGACTCCAGCGAACCATCTTTGATTAAATTGGAATGTGTAGTGCCTAGGTCCATTAGTGCTCGGCCAAATGTCCCGGATGAGTCCATGAACACGTGGTGACTAAGGACATCAGGAAGAGTGGACTTCATGGTAGACTAAGAGGGTACAAATTGTGTTCTTAGTGAATCTCATAAAATTTAACGAAATAAGATACTTGTTGCAAAATTCGTGAAAAACTTCAATAATTCTGTGAGAACAAAACTTTCTGAGAAACCGAACAGGAAACTTACCAAATCTAAGGAGGCCTTCCACGCTAACCCTGCACCCGCAAGGAATGCTGGGATGCTGACACTCAGTGGATTCACGTGACCAGGTAACGACCAATCACAGATGACGATACCTAAAGCGTTGCAGGAAACAGCTGCTTGAACAGCATTGTTCATCACTGCTATACTCTCGTCCGTGTTTCCACAAACACTGGGAAGAAAATGTTTAAAATATCAGAGAAGCATTGTTCCTAAATGGATGCACGAGCGGTTTAATCTTAAACTTACTTATTTAAAAGCGAGAGAATCTTTCTGTGTAATTTGGGGCCTTCGTTTTAGATAGGACAAAAATAATAAATCGATAAACTTCTCACCTGTTCCATGATCCGGTTCCTGGGCAGACAAAAAAGCTAATACTGAAATTGAAACGAAAAAAAATGTGTCATCTAAATCTTGAAATTACCTATCATCAAAATGGTATCACCGACTTTGAACTTGATACCAGACGAATATCGAGTGTGGAACATTTAAACATACTCACCCAGCATCGGCTAGTGATTTGCAATATTTAAAAAAGTCGTGATCAACCTAAAACAAAGAAGGAAAACAGCCTTTAATTATTGTACCCACTTCAAGAAATTGAGGTCCGTACGTGTGCAGCAAAGGGGTTTTTTGCGATCATGGTAATCAAAAGAGGTTCCTTTACCTCGCATACTAAGTTTTACACGTCTCAGACGCGTTTGTATAATCTGACTTTCAACGAAAAAATGCTTTGAATACAAATGAATGAAAAAACTGAAATGCTATAAATACCGTGTGCCCATATTCCATAGCTATCACCCCTGGAGGAAGATTCCATAGCTGCTCTGGGTCATCGTGGAGGGCGTTGGCCCAAAACTGCAAGGTCCGACCGTGTCTACAACAAGATCTGTGCATGGATCGGAGATGACCCATGTAAACTTCGTCCACTCCTTTTGCCTAAGAAGAACAGTCAGAAACTTAAGGCTTGGTCCATTTATGAGGCCTGGTCAAGCGAAAAAAATTACTTCTTGCCGTTGTATATGTAAAGCGAAAGAAAATTCCTTAAGCGGAAGGGTGTAAAAGTGTTGCTCTCCAGTGCCCTTTAAACGCCAGGAGATGGTAATTTGCATTATAAGTCACTCAAGGGTGAGAGAGAGAAATTCGTGAACAATACACCTGGGAGGAAAAAAAGTAATAGGCCTCGATCAACGGACATAACCGATCCGGCTAGAACGTATATTAAGGAACAGTAGTTCGATCAGCCAGTACTGACAAAGAAAGACAGCCATCAGATAAATTCAAAGGTGTGTCACTGTCAAGAACGTAATGACGAAATAGAACAACATTGTGTCGCAACACTACCTGTGCTATAACGTGCGATTTTCCTTTTCCAAATTCTGGTGCCAAGTCCAAGCCGACGTGAGCAAACCTGAATGACACAAGCGCTGAGTTAGAAAAAAAAAACCTGGCCATCAAGAAAAAGCTTTTGCTGTTCGTAGTGTTCTCCGGAAGTACCACCGGCCGGGTTTTTTTCACTTAAAGGAGACAAAACACATAAATACCTATATCTACCTATTAAAATATCGTAATCTAGAAGCTGATATGAATATCTTGTGCAGTTTATAGACAATTTAGCTATTTTGTAGCCAACAAAAAAAGTCTTTCCTACTTTTATCGATAGATAGTAAAGTACTTGTGATTGGTTTATCGGTAGACAAATCTAACAGATGTAGTAAGTGATTAGTAATCTTTACCTTGTGGATGAAAAACATGCGAAAGTTTGCGCATGAAGACCAAGAACCATAGTTATGCTCTCATCGTTTGTTGGACAGAGACTGGATGGCAGTCTACATTATCAGGAAAATAAAAGAAGTACGCTCAGCGACAAAAGAACTCCTGCGGTAGAGAAGCTAATCTTAATAGTTTTAGTTCTTTGTTTGCCTTTTCGCAAAGCTCAAGAATTACTAGAGTTTGGAAAAGACTTCGAAATATTAGTTCAGTTAAAGAGATAAACAAAAATGAGGCTTAGGGTGACGATAAACCAAAAGGAGCAAAGATGGAGAGGATAGGAAAGAAGTTTCTATACCTTTGTTGGCGAGGATCGAAATCAACCTCTTCCTCTGCTAGATGTTTATACATTTTGAACTTCAGCCTGCGAAAGAGGAGAATCCATACATAAATATCACTTTTTTTTTATGATAACTTAGCACACTTGTGAGGCTGTTCTTTTTTCTGAATGAGTAAAGCTAGTGGGTCCCAGACTGGTGCGAGGGTACGTTAGCCGACAATTTATAGAACAGACACACCGGATCCAAAAGATACAACATTTCAAATTTTTGACGGAGTTAGCGTGTAGAAAATTCTCTTCCTCAAAGTGATTTGCTAATGGTTACCACAAACACAAACCGGAAAGTAACGACAAAGGCGAACTGGAGGAAACGTGGAAACAGGGTAGACTTCAACAAGCGACAAGCCTATGCAAATTTGCGAAAGTGTGTGTACAGCGTTTCGATTCCGTGAACAGTAACAAAGTTGTTAACTCACCACTGACTGAACCCAGATAAACTGTCAACATGCGGCACAAGCTCAATGTATCTTCTTTTACAGTAACTGTCTATTTTGATGATATCACTGTAGAAAATAATTGAAGAAAGCTAAAAATTGAACACAAACAGACGACAACAATAACGAAAATAAACAGAAAAAATTAACAATGAAACTAAACGAGAAAACGATTTATGGAAAACTGTAGTTTCATGTAATTATTTTCGTATACTGTAACGAAAAGTAAAGCAGAGAGAGTTTCCCTTTAAGCTTTTCAGATTATACTACAAAGTTTCACTCATTCCTCCGGATGGAATGCTGGTCCATCGCAGTGTACCCACCCCCCCCCCCCATCTCCCCACCCTCCCTCCTAGCTTTTTGTTAGTTTTTAGTGACAGTTCACGAGTTCCCATTTACCCGCCTGAATAGAGAGGGGCGCTGTGAGATTCAAAGTATCTTGCCAAAGAACACAACACAATGACCTGGCAAGGTCTCAACCCGGACATTCGATCCAGAGTCCACGGCATGTGCAGACCAAAAAGCTACCGCGTCTCCCACAACAAAATGACATATAAAAGTTACGACTTCACACCTTGCGTCATAAGCCGTGTTGTTCCGCCAAACTGTCTCGTGTCCAGCAAAGGAAAATGTGTTCTGCATGTATAATTGTAGCTGGTTGATTTTCATGGCCGACAAAATGTCGATAAGGGAAAACACTGTTTCCTGGGTGGAAAAGAAATAACATGACTTGTAAGTTATTAACTTTTGAATCCCAGTAGTAACTTATGTCTTACTTCTCCGTACAATATTGTCGGAAATGAGACTAAAGAATCTGCTATGTTCCGAAACTTCACGTTTTATTTTATAAAATCAACTTAACCTCCCTCTCTCTCGTCTCACCGTTCTCTGTCTCACGCTCTGGTCTCTCTCATTTTAAATATATAATATGATCCTATTGTTCAATCATCTGTCACTTATCGCAAAAAATCAACCGGAAATCAATTAACGCTGAATAATCTCTCACACACTCCCCTGTTTTTCTCAACGGAGAAAAACACTAGAATGGCGCGCTCGATAAAATTTGAAATTCAATGAACGAAACAGAAAGTTAGTCCAGTATATCAGTTCAGTGTTCCTAAATATCTCTAATCGGCATCAATGTTCGCATCTTGAATGCGATAACGAGCGGCTACCGCTGCATCCCTCCTGGGCCTGAATGTCGGGGCTAAGGGGTTGAGCTGCAGAGGAGCCTGTACATTCTCCCGATCGCAGGACAGCTCCAGTGGGTAAAGGTGTTGTACCGCCCGTTCAAGTGTTCCTTTCCCCGCTCGAAGTTTGGCAGCTCGAACGATTCCGTCTCGTCCCGAAATCAGATCTTCCACGATTCCAATTTTCCATTTATTGCGATTTCGTTCCTCGTCCTTGATGATGACTACCTCTCCTTTGGCCAAGGGCGTGGTTTGACCCTTGTGTTTCATCCGGTGTCGTTCTCTCAACCCTCGTAAATATTCGGTAGTCCACCTGGTCCACAAAGCCTGCTTGCACCTTCGCAAATATTTAGCTCTTCTACGCAGATCAAATTCTCTTAGATGGTGTGGTTCCAGTTCTGGTAGCTGGTTTGATCGAAGAAATAGCAGTGAGTTAGGGGTAAGCACGGGTAACTGTATGTCGTCTTCGACGTAACATAAAGGGCGATTATTCAAAGCAATCTCCACATCCAGTACTACTTCACACAGCTCTGTCCAGGTCAACATTCCGCATCCGATAGTCTTGTTTAAAGCTGTTTTTACCAGTGCGATGAGGCGCTCGAACTGTCCTCCCCACCAAGCGGCGCGGCTGAGGTTGAATTGCCACTTGATGTTCTCATGTGCTAAGTAATCTTGTGTCTTCTCGTCACGCATAACTTGTTTGAGCCACTTCTCGGCGCCAACAAAGGTTTTGCCATTGTCGGAATATATCTTCTTCGGACGCCCACGGCGCGCGATGAGCCGTTTTAGACTTCTTAGGAATTCACTGGTTGCCAGGTTTGGTAGTACTTCCAGGAATAATCCTCGGGTAAGACTGCACGCGTACAATGCAAGATAGGCCTTTCCTTCTGTTTTGGCTTGTAAGTCACTTGGTAGGGGCCTATCCCACGCGATCTTCGTGTCGCAGGCGTCTCTGTAGAGCATTTTTCCGGAGAGGGTCACGGGTGAAGCCAGACCGAGTGGATCGTAGATTTTTGCGACTTTTCCAAGAATACCTCTTTTAGTCGGCTCAGCGGTTGAAATCGGGAAGCTGACTTGAATTTCGTCCTTTTCTTTGTCCCAGGGGACTCCTAGCAGTTTTGATTCGCCCTTTCTGGTTCCCAGTTGTTGTTTGGCGTAACTCTGACTTTCTTCATCTACAGTCGCAGTTTCAACTTCTAGTTCCCGATCGTTGGAATGCCACTTGTGCAGCTTGAAAGTCGCCTCACCAAAGATGGTCGTGGCTGTCATCTTGATTTCTAACGCTCGTTCTGTTGTCTCCCCACCACTGATTAAATCATCCACGTACATACTGCGCTCTATCTCCTCTACTAATTCCGGGTTCACCATTTTGTATCGCTGTAGATGTTCTTTGATAACTGCGGCCATGAGGAATGGAGACGGTGCCAAGCCAAAAAGTACTCGAGTGAATCGCAAGGTATCTACTTGTTTGCTTGCCAGATCCTTTATCCAATGAAAGCGTAAGGCATCTCGGTCTTCTCTTCGGACGCGAATTTGCAAAAATGCTTGTTTTAAGTCGCCAGCTATTGCCACGGGATAGAACCTATTTCGTACCAGCACGTTCCAAAGCTGGTTCTGTAGTGGAGGGCCGATTTCGAGGCACTCGTTGAGTGAGGGGACACTTACATTAGCTCTTGCAGAAGCATCATAAACAATGCGTATCTTTGTAGATTCTGCATTCTCGCGCACGACCGCTTTATGAGGAATGTAGAACTCTTTTCCGTCCTTGACCACCTCGTCAGCGTGTTCTACGATCCCTTGGCTCAGTTGAGTCTGGATAATGTCGTTGTACCTCTCCAGCTCGCCTTGTATCTCTAACTTCCGCACGAGATTTTTGAGACGTTTTAAACTTCCAGTGTGATTGTTCGGTAGGGGGGGGTGATTTCCTTTCCAGGGCAAGTTCGTCTCGTACCAGCCTTCTGAACTCCTAGTTAGTTGCTCTTTGAATTCTTCGTAAACGGTTTCCTGGTCTCCACTTGGATTGTCCTTTAACCCCAAGACGTCTAACTTGCACAATTCTTCGTAATCAATTGCGGAGGTCTGCGTTAACAACATGTTGCTGAGATCCAACTCTGTTCCAGGTGACAAGATCGTCCAGCCGAACTTCGTGTATTCTGCTACTGGTTCTCCCGAGCGCCCAACTCTTGGTCTTGCCCCTGTTTTGATCTTAGCGTACTCGTTTGTTCCAAGGATCAGATGAACAGGCAACATCGCTTTCTCGTCGTTATCATTTGTGGTTACGCCCTTCAAATGAGAAAACTGAGCCACGATTTCTGCGCATTTTGGGTTTTCCAATGTCAACAACTCTTTGCGGTCGACTTTGTTTACTTCGGCTTCCAAGGTGAATTTACCATCAACGCTTCGAATTTGTAGGCCATAGATGTCTATCGCTTTGTTTGAAGTACCAAACATCATTTCAATGCGCTTGAATTGTTGACGGATAGGGCGCAAATGTAAACAGTTCAGAAGCGTTGATGAAGCGTAGGAACTTCCGGCTCCTGTATCCAACAATGCTCGGCATTTAACACCGTTCACGTCCACTGTTACCATAGGATACACCACTCCTTTCCTTTCTGCGCTCGTTGTGGTCATCAGCTGGTCTCGCGATGTATGTTTGTCACAGATCGACGTATGATGTCTTCGACTGCAGATCTGGCAGCCAGAACGGCATTTGCACTCAGAAGCACGGTGTCGACTTCCTGTGCAGTTAAAACAAAGCTGTTTCAGTCCTAATTGTTTCCTGCGGTCTCCAACTGTCACAAACTTGTCGCAATTCACAGCTCTGTGGTCAGTTGCGTCACAGTAGACGCACCCTCTTTGTGTTGGCGTAGTTTCGTTTGCGTGAAATGTTTTCTCGCGATCGCGGAATTTAGCACCTTGCTTCCCCGCATTATCCGCGCCGTTCCCAATGGGGTTGATTTCCTTCCAACTTTTCAAAGCTTTTATCAACTGTGGGAAGTCCCAGTCCTGCCAGTCCACTTGTCCTCTCACTAGATCTGCTTTTACACCCTTTAGTTTGTCGAGCACACTCCTTACATTTCCAGTGACGTCTTTCAATTTGCCCAGTGTCTCCAAAGATTGCACATTGTACACGAGCTTCTTGTAAAATTCGTGGATAGGCGCAGGTTGTGTTCCTGTAATGACAGGCAAATTCGCGATGTTCTGGACGTACGCATTCACGATCTCGCTCGTTTTCCCATATTCGCCGATGAGGATATTCTTTGCCCTTTCGTAGCCCTCTGTTGTGAAAGGCAGTCCGTCTATCTCCGCTCGAACCTTTGGATCTACCAGCTCTTTTAGGTATGCAAACTTGGTCACAGACGCAAGGCTTGCTTTATCAATTTCAGCTTGAAATTTGTTCCAGAACGGCAGCCATGCTTCATACGTCCCATTAAACTTTGTGATCTGTAGTTTCGGTAGCTTTGTTGTCCTTTGTTCAGTCTGATTAACCTTCTCAACAGGTTGCTGTTTTGCCTTGGTCTCTTCCAGTTGGCGTTCGAATTCTAGCTTCATCTCCATTTGCTCTCTTTCGAATTTGAGCTCCTCTTCGCGAGCACGGGCTTTCCTCTCTTCTCCTTCCTTTTGCTTGCGATGTTCGATCTCTTCATTCGTCTCCACGAGCCATTTTTCCAGTCGCGAAACTTCTTCGTCAGCTTCGGCGATCGGTTCCTCAATGCCACTGCTCCAACTTCCAACGTCTTCTGCACTTTCTCCGGCCTCGAACATGGTCCGCTCAACCCTTAGTTTAAGCGCGTCTACTTCTTTTACTAATGCTTGTTGGTTGTCGCGATGTCGCGCGACCGCTCCTAAGTTTCCCTTTCCACAATGCCACGTGTTTTTCCATTAGTGTACAGCGACATCTGCAATTTAGCCTCTGCTTCTTTGGTTAGTTCCTCCATGCTTCGCAAGTCCCGTCGGAGGTGCCACTGTGTCGGAAATGAGACTAAAGAATCTGCTATGTTCCGAAACTTCACGTTTTATTTTATAAAATCAACTTAACCTCCCTCTCTCTCGTCTCACCGTTCTCTGTCTCACGCTCTGGTCTCTCTCATTTTAAATATATAATATGATCCTATTGTTCAATCATCTGTCACTTATCGCAAAAAATCAACCGGAAATCAATTAACGCTGAATAATCTCTCACAATATCAATACATTTCCAGGTAACGAGAATTGACAAAGTTCATCGCTGAAGCGTTTCATTTTGACAAAAACAGTACAATTTCTTGATTAATTTAGAGAGAGATTTACAGAAGCAAAAAGAATAATAGCGTGTCAGATCTTTTTACTTGGAAAATTATAAAAATTAGATTCGTGAAATGTAGCTCCATTCCACCCCATTGCTCATTCTTGACAATGGTGACGCTTTCTCCAATTATTGCAGCATAATGTGAATACAAGAGCACTACTGTTTGTCTAGTTAGTATCAGAAACTCGTCGGAGGTAAAACATGTAACTCCTCGATTAGAAATTTGCACCGTTACTAGTGTGCAAGACGACATGTTTGAGATACCATTGCTTGAGTTCAGTTGAGTAACCCGCCTAGTATATTCATTTACGAGGAATCGTGGAGAGGCTTTTCTTTAAAAGATTATGTACCGCGCTCAGATAAATATTCGTAATAAGAGAACATATTTTTTTGTATCAAAAATGCACAAGTACGTGTACTTACTAATGTTGGAACACGCCCTGTTGAAACATCCCATAACACTCCCCTGAATTTCAAGTCTGGCCAGTCGTTGATCTAAAACGAAACGCAAGGTAAAGAGTAGTTTAATACATGTCCTTAAGGTCATTTCCAAACCAGCACCCCCCCCCCCCCATGAAATGTTTGTCCATAGCAGGTAACCCCCCCTTGCATTTCGTAAGTTTTTCCTGGTAACCATTTACACTCCTGAGTGGAGACTGGTACTTCAATAGAAAAGCGTGTTGTCTAAGAACGCGAAATAAATAACACGACAAACGTTCGACCCAGAACCTCTCGATCCTGCCGGTTTCCTACGACAGAGTCCAAAAAGTCTTATGATTAAACGTACTCGTAAATGACGTTAACATGACTACGTTACCTGCGCTTGTGGTATCCCATTTCCATGGAAAAGTCGAAATATCTGAAGTAAAGTGTTTACAGCATACCACAACCCTGGGAGATCACTCGCAGCTATAACAACCTGTTGTTAATGAAATTACATTTAATGTGGTTCTTCAGAGGAAAGGTACTCACAAGAGCACGCAAAAGTCAACAATTATAACCGCGAAAAGGGAGAGATCTGTTCTAGCTTTGCATATTAATATGCGGGGAACGACGTATAGTCAGTTTTCTGACTAATTACAGAACCTTGAAAAGTAAAACCACAAAGTTGTATATTGTACCTTAACAGTTGAAATAGTTATCCTATAGCTCTCTGACTTGTTGAATGAATGAGGACACACATGACACTCTATGCTACTTGCAACACTCCCTCTCCTTGTGGAGGCTGTGGGTTTGAACAGAAAATACACATGGATAAAGAGATACTGTGAAAGGTTTATAAAAAAAAGATATGAAGTACTGACAGAACAACAAAACAAAACTGGGGTTTGAAAGCCTTTCCCATATTATAAGAAAACAAGCCATTTTTTTCTACTTCACCCAAAAAACAACAATCGACAAACCCTCCTAGTAGTCAGTGATCCATGGTCGCTGTTGTCAAGTGGTAGTTATGCTACTTTTTAGTTCAATGGTCTTAAAATTCAACGCAAGTTTTCATGATTGTTTTTTTTCAGCGAGCATTGCGTAATTATATGCAAATCTCATCACTCCAATCTTTTCACAGACCTTCCCTGACCCCTTCCCCCCAGGGAGTGTTAATTAGTACTCCGGAATTTTTTTTCAAGAAACGTTTTCAAGTAAGAATAAAAGCAAAAAAGATACCCAATCGTTGACTCAGAGAAGGCTGGGATATGCGTTAGTAATCAATTCAGGGGGAGAAGAAAATCTTCAAGGCCTACTTACAAAATAAACTGTGTTTATCAAAGCAGCTTTCTGAAACAATTACGCATCTCTTACCCTCTCCCACAACCTTTAGGTCCAAGGAATATCCAACTTGCTGAAAACTTTCTTCCACTGTGTTCCAAATCTCAACAATTTCTTGAAAGTTATCTGTGGATGTTTTATTTTAAGTCAGTACTTCGATCAAGCAAGTTTTTGATTTTCATTGCTACTGGCAAGGACAACTTCACTGTAAAACACGTCTTGGATATGCCTGCGAGATACCATAAACCTTGCATCAAACATTCAATTCCTCGTTTTACTAAATAAATACGTTGGCCATTTTCCTGTACTTAGTTAAATCAAGAATTGCTACTGCTAATATGATCCTTATAAACACGTCTGAACAACGCTGTCACAAAAACAGCAATTAAGACGTAAACGGTTTCGCTACAACATTATTTATTAATTGTACGATTCATAACTCACTTAGTACACATACACAAACAAACAAACAAAAAAGCAAACCACTGCAAAAAGAACTGCTGCATTGAGATTTTGAAGTTACCTCACCTGATTTTAACTCCCTAAATATCAGAATTGGAAGGACAGATGTGGGGAAAAACCTTGGACCCTTCATTTGGGTGGTTACTTGAGGGTGTGGCCAGACAAGACGGAACAGGGGATCAAGGGTATCACTGTTGGCTGGTGGGGTCATTCCAGAGAGTGTCTGTACATGAGACTTGAACAAAGGAGTGGATGGCAGAGAGGAAGTACTTGCTGGTGTCAGTGGTAGAGTACTGGTCTCTGACGGCAGTGATTCTGTCACATGAAATTTAAAAAGTTATAAAATTATAAAAGCAGTCACAAAATTGGAGAATTTGTTTGATTTAAAGGACATTTACATTCTATAATTCATTGATGTACCTGAATCCAAGGCCTGCTGAGTGGCAGCTCCATTGGTGACAGGCTTTTCTTCCCTTATGACAGGTGATGTTAGTAACTCTTGCATTTCAACGGTAGTAACTAAATTAAGTGCTGTTTTCCCTTTGCATGGTCTGGAACAAAAGGTATGTTTTACAAATGCAGTTTTTTTTATAGTGTTGAGAGTATGGAAAGACATGGCAGAACAGAAATTTTTTAATTTAGGTAGGTTGAAATATAACTTGTTAGCCTCATAAAAATACTCCAACTCTAAAAGTGAACACAAAATATGCAAAAACACAACCATTCTTGTAGAGAAAACCACTTTACCAATAGGAAAAAAATTATTTTTTTTTTCACTTTTAATCATTAAAAAGGAAACCCATATTTACTTTATTTTGGAAATTTAGCGAAATTGCACTTCACTCAATTGAGAATAAAAAATGCATCTAAAACATTTAGCATCTACATGTAAGCAAATCCCAAATAGTCTAGGAGGGTTGATATCATTATGAATAATGAAAATTTTTTGTTGATGTAAATTTTTTATTTATTTACCTTAAATTACTCACCCTTCTTTAGCCTTAATATCTGTTGCTGCCCCATATTCCAGTAATATTCTGACAATCTCTAAATCTCCTCTGTTGACTGCGTCGTGAAGGGGAGTTACTCCAGCTTTGTTAGTGATGTTTACATTGGCTTCATGTTCTGTGTTCAATGAATTCCAAATTCTTATTAATTTATGTTCTTCCTCGTCATAAGCCCTATTCTTTGTTATTTGCTATTAAAATTTGTTTATGTTGCCATGTCAGTAACTTCATGTGCATCCCCTAGTAAGAAAAAACCTGGATGTGCCCCTGTAAGTTGATCTGAAGAAGACTTTGGGTGGACCACAGGATGGTTTTTAAGTACCACTATTCATGTCTACGCAAGTAAAGATAATACACATGATGAATTAACAGAACACTTGGCATTAAGCCAACTTACCACATAGAAGTTTCACGATGTCAGCATTTCCATAGCTGGCAGCCCAATGGAGTGCTTTGTTATCACTTGTTGCTCCATCACTGGCATTCACACTGACTCCTGCCTTCAGCAATTTACGTACCCTGGGAGTACTGTGGATCACACATGAATGAATATGGTCATGAGTAATAGGATTAATCTATTAAATAGCCATAAATTATTTAATGTACAAAATTGAATGTAATGAAGGGCCACTTAGATTGGTGAGGTCACTGGAACAAGTATCCCAAATTCACAGCAATGTGATGCATTGTCAGGTCCTCCTGTCATTTCACAGAAGACCCTGTTTAATGATACTACAGTATGTGAAATACATAGTCGGCCAAGTTCCTGGAATATAACATTTCTTAAAAAAAAAAATAAAATCATTCAAAACTAAGCTCAATACAAATACATGTAAATTTATATTGAGCTGCTCCTCATCTTGTAATACAGAATTGCTTAATTACATGTAGTCTACTAATTAAAAGTACGGATTGAAAACTCCAGGTTCAAGACCAGACAGTGTCACTGTGTTGTGTTCTTAACCCTTAAACTCCCATGAGTGACCAAGACAGAATTTCTCCTTACAACATCAATACAATATCAACCAAATAAGTGATGAGAATAAAGAAAAATATCACTTTGGGGATCATTAGTTGATCCAGTACTAAATTCTCTGAACTAACATTAAAAGAATTGTATGGTTGACAGTAAGGAGAATTACTAATTTGATGATGGGAGTTAAAGGGTTAAGGCAAAACATTTAACTCTCACAGGGCCTGTCTTCACTCAAGAGATCATCAAATGAGCACCAGCAAACTTGCTGTGAATTCTGGGCAATGGTGTTGGTAATAGAGCTACTTGCTTCATAATTGTACTTTTAATTAATACTTACTTTGAGTTTGCAGTAGCCTGGAGTAGTTCCTCATTATAAACTCCCAAGATTGACTTGTCTGTACAGTAATCAAATGATGTTGCTCCTTCCTTGTTTGGAATGGTTGGATCAGATCCAGCTGCTAACAAAGCCCTTACTGCATCTGCATAGCTGAGCTAAAAAGTATTCAAAGAAATTATATCAACTGGCAAAAAATTTACTCCTGACATGGAAAATTTGTTTAACAATAAAGAGATCTTTTTAGTTGGTGATCGTTTCTTTTATTCTCATTACTTAATGTTTGATTCAGGGTGATATTGCAAAATTAAATGCTTGTCACTCTTTGGGGGTCAAAGGATTTGGAAATTTAAAACCCGTCTTTCACGATATGTTTATGAATACATGACAACGACACAGACAATTTGACTGGAATGAAAAAGTTTAAACCCAAGAAAAATTCGTAAACCTCAAGAAAAATTAAAAGTGCATTGCTTAATTTTGGATTTTCTTGCAGACTTACCTTAGTAGCAAGATGAAGACATGTACCAGCATCATTGTCGACATAGTTCATCATCATCTTCAAAATATCATAAGGATCATCATATTCATCATAATAAAACTGTTTAGGAACACCCAATTGAGCTTCTTCTTCTTCATCATCTCCAAAGAGCCCATCCTCTTCTCTGTCTATTAAAATTTGATGATAATATCTTGTGATTTTAAAATAGCACCACTGCTACTAAGACATTACAAAGAAATATATATGAAGTACTACAAACTACTGATTCAGAACTGAATGCTTTCCCAAAAAAATTACTTCAAGTTATTTTTAAGATATGGAAAGGGTGTTATAGACTCTAATCAATAATTGCAGTGAGTGATACATGCAAATAGACATACAGTGTACAAGGACGCTGAAATACTCGATTGTTCAACACAGTTTTTTATATGCCTGCCTACTTTTTGTAAAATTCAAAGCTGTGATATCATCTTCATGACAAATCAGCATGCAAGCATTTTCTTAGGGAACCTAAACATATCTAATGATGTGATCTTTAAATTTCCTAAATTTTTCCAAATTTCCAGATGTGTTCAATAATTTTCAAAGAGTAAAATAATGGCTTTGAAAAACTTAGGGTCATTTGCCAAGAATATCTGCCTCTAGTAATGCAAATATGTTTAAATTTGTAATATACACATTCCTGAAATATGTCACTTAGAGGTACATGTAATGATCTGAATTTCTATAGTCTGGTAATGTGAGCCGGAAAGGAATAAGAGTGGTCAATTCATAGGTGTGAAAACTACACCTATTTAGCAAGTATTAGATAAGTGCACAGAAAAATGAATTTTATGTGCAAGTATGAATTACCAACTCACAGTATATAAATTGCAAATAAACAGGTGTTGATCAGATGTACTTGTGCAGCACCACAAAGCCAATTGGGGACACAGTACATAAACAGATTTATTACATTCATTTTGAAATCACTGGTGATCCTAGCAATCTGACTAGCCCTCATTGGTATGATTTATTCATAAATTACACCATTTTTTCCTGTAAATAGCACATTTTCCAAGCCTATAACAAACCTTTACTTTAACAAAACAACCAATCATATTTCAAGGATTGTTTATAGAAACCAATAACATTAAAGGAAAATGAAAAACATTTTTTGCAACTTTTTACCAATCAGCTCAGTGGTGAATCAATAAGCTATTTCTAAACCCTAAAAAAAATCCTGTATTTGAGCAGCTGAAATTTACAATTTCAAAATGGATGTACTAAAGTGGTAATAGAACCTTGTGTTGTGCAATTTTGGTCTGAGATCATACTTGTGATTTCAAATCAAACTTACTCTGTATGATCTTTTGACTTAGAAATAACTTGTATGATATGATTGCAGATCTAATTGCACTCCATTCAGTCTAATTACAATTAAGAATACAGTTTAACGGACTGAAAGTCAACTTGTAAATTACCTGAATCACTAGAAAAACTTAAGGGAGTTGTCAGAATGTGATCTATGGTTGCTAGGACCTGTATAGCCAGGAAGCTGCTCCATAGTCGTTTAACTCATCAATAATTTTTAAAACATTTTGAGATGACCGAGACAAACAAACAGAAACTCTCATGCACAGGACTAGAGTTGGTGAGTTTAGTAAAGAGGGATCATCTGATTTGATTTTGGTACAAACATGCACTCATTGCAATACCAATATCACCGTACCTTCGGTAAAACTATCAAACCATATAAGAAATTAGAAATTCAGTCTACATATATCGAAGAGTGGGTTGGTGACAAACGTACAGCTTAATGTACCTTAAGTTTTGAGCCTTTTGTTTCTCTCATTTAATTCATTTTAAGACTAGAATGAAGCTTTAATTTATTGTGATTTTCAGTTGCATAGCTTATGAAATTGAAAACCGGCTGATACAGTAAACAGGTGTGTTATGATTGACCAGCTCGGATATCATTGAATCAAATCTATCTACTAAAAATCATCTGTGTTTTGCATCAGCAGACTTAATATACACCTTGTTAGATGCAGGAAAATGGTGTAATAAGACACAACTCGCATAACCTGATCATATACTGGAAATAACAATTAATTTTCTTACAATCTGCAGCTGTCGAAAGTATGCTCCGAATAATTCTTCCACAATTTTTCTCCACATATGAACCTGAAATAAAATAGATTAATTTCAATTCTTGGATTTTGTGCCTCTTCCCTGCCACGTTCAAGTTAAAGAGCGCACGAACTTCAAATATACTGACCAGCGGTATACTGATATGTCTCGTATAAATTACAGGAAAATTCTCGAGCATAGGTAACTAAAGTTGTCAATAATTTTTTTTTTGTCAAAAAAAAAGGCAGGCGAAAATCCACGTAGTCTCAGGCCATTTTGCCTGTGAGTTGTCCTCAAATACAGAAAATAAATGTATTTGCGCTGATTATCACTCCAACGTTTGGCTAAATAGAGTTATTGAAATAAGTCACAGAATGCTGGAAATCTCGTCTCGATTTTTTTCAGGGAGTGTGTCCCAGGACCCCCCTAGAGTGACCCAGAGTTTGGTATAACGCTTCCGTAGAGATATATTTTTTTGTTAAGACTAATCAATCGTCCATTTGCCGGAATCTACTGCCTCTGTGATTTTTCCAAAGCTAACATTATTTTTTTGGAAAAATATTCGAAAAATTGCAAGTCTATTCTTTGAGTATTAGCCTTTGCGGTTTATCACTGTCGGAGCCATAAAGGTTATCACTCTAAATCATGACGGCTATGTCAAAAATAGACGTATCAAGTGGTAGGGGTTTGGCCCCATGAATGATCACGTGAAAAATATCGTAATTATCGAATAACTTCCTGTTTGTACTTTACATCCACATAGCAACACTATTTCCTCCAGTTTTAGCACATTGAGATTACAGGTACGTATCTTTTATTGCTCTATGTTCCCTCGAAGCAAGTTGTGATGCGTTATTGATCTTTTTCTTGTCGTAGAAAAATTGCTGTTGGGGTTTACAGTTAGAATTCAGCGGAAGTCGCGCGCAATCCTCGTCGGAATATACTATTTTCCTCTTCCTGCTTGCAAGCTAGCAATCGTTACTGAATTTTTCGGCAGCTTTGTTTGATAATTCATGAGTGTTTTTCTTGATTGTTATTAAACTTTTGCCATTGGAAAGATAAGTAAAAGATTTTTAAGTCTTTTGGTGTGCAATCTTATCAGAGCATCAATGTTAATTAGACATGATCATTTCTAATATTTTATGGAAGTTTGACGCATCTAAAAGGGTTTTCAACGTTTTTGGATCAGCTGCTACTTTTCTGGATAAGTTTTAAGGAATTTATGAATTAGAATATCTTTCATTTGTACGGCAGCATATGCTTGAGAAATGTGAATTGTTGCTTGAGGCATTATAAAAGACTTAATAGTTTTCAGTCACCATTATTTCCTGTTCACTGAATCGTGAAATGCAAATTTCGTAAAATGGTTGTTCAAAGTACTGAGAACTTCTGACACTCATAATTTGATTCTTTGCAGATATAATTATCTTATTAGACGTTTTGGCGTGTAGTAAACCTCTCGATTAGGATTTCGGTTCTTGCTCCTTGACATCTGCTCAAAAGTTTATCAAAACCGAGATCACGCAACCATTGCGTGACCATCTAAGTGTGTCACAAATTCTTTAGTTTGTTGGTTACAAATTTCAAATATTTGCAGTAAGTGCAATAGTTAACTAGCATGTCATTGTTATTGCTACAGAAACTACTCATGGCCAGTGCTGCACCGACTGCTTCATCCACAAAGGAAACAACAAACTATGCTAGGTTGTGCCGTCTGCTTGTGGGTCTTGGAAGCCAGGCTCTCAGGGAAACATTTGATGCCATCCATGCACCGGGAAATCTACACACGATTTTGGGGACAAACAAACCCACTTTGCAATCTCTCAGAGCAAAGAAGATTATCAATCCAATTCAATGGGGGAAACTTTTCCCCGCCATCCCTACCTCAGTATCCTCACGCGATTTTGACACAACTCTCTTGGTGGTTCTGTTGAGAAACCTGTGCGGCTTAACTGCCCCGCTAACCGGCTGGGACGCATTACCTGCCATAGCAGACCTTAGTAAGGAAGCAGATATTGCCCGGGTTAAGCATTTTAGGAACACTGTGTACGGTCACGCCGAGAAAGCTTCTGTTGATGACGTGAAGTTCAATGACTACTGGCGTGACATCCGGGACACTCTGGTCAGATTGGGAGGCGTTACTTATGAAGCTGCTATTGACGATCTCAGAAACGAGTGCATGGACCCTGAAGTTGGAGATCATTTCATGGAATTACTGAGTCAATGGAAAAAGGACGAGAACAACATTAAAGATCAGCTGGACGAAATAAAGAAAAGACTTGATGTCCTGACGGCTTCAAAAGAAACAACTGATCAAGGTACGTTTTCAGCAGGAGCAGGAGCATGCTCTCATATATCGCGTTTCAGCACACACGTTTTTCGGACGTTGGCCGGTGGTCTGGCACTAATAATGAGGTGCTAGATCCCTTAGCAGATCTCGCTGGCTCGCGTTGCTGAAGGCTTCATACTTTCCTGCAGGCGAACAAACGCTCTTGTTGAAGCGCTGAAGACGACCTCCTGCTCGCGAGTTATTTTTTTTAAATAAGTGAAAGAAACGCATTGACACTAAGAGCTTCCGGTAAAGTGTAAGCCTGCTTTTGTGGACACTTTCAAATATCAAGCGTCGAAGCCAAGGGACCTTTTGGATGGCTTCGCCATTCGCTATGTATTGCACCAAAACATTTGATGTTGTAAACAGAGCAAAAATCTAATAGGAATAAAATTTCTGAACAGTTACTTACAAGGAACAGACTTCTAAAAACGTGGGAAAGATGTTTCTCTTGTAAAACGTAAAATCAATTGATACTGGTATGAAAATAATATTTTCTCGCTTCGCTTTTTAGGTGAAACCTCTACATCAGGAGAAGTTTTGAGTAGACGGGCAATGTGCAAGTACCACGAGAGCGAAGAAGTTGAGCATTACTGTTTGAAGTGTAAGGTTTGCATCTGTCAGAATTGTCAACAAGTACGTCATAGAAGGCACTCAAGGGTTAAAATACAACAAGCTGCTGATGAGCGAAAGGCCCCAATGGCAAGGATCCTGTACGACGCTAAAGCAGAAATCGTTGTCGTCGAGAGTAAAATCAATAAGCAAATCGAGCTGAGGACGAAGAGCAAAGCTAGAATTACTGCCGCGGTAAACAAGGTGAATGAAACTGTTGAAGAACTCGTCCAAGTGCTGAGAGATCAGGAAAAGCTGATGAAGGAAAAATTAACACAGATTTATCATTCACAAGAAAAAGATCATGAGGCGCAACTAGAAAAATTTCAAATGTTTGCCAGAGAAATGAAAAGATCCGTCGAACGTGGCGAAGGTATTTTTCAAAGAAACGTCGCTCTAGAAATCCTTGAAGAGGAGCATTCTATCTTCTCTCCCTGTAAAGAGCTTTTGGATCAATGTCAGAAACTGGAACTCTACGCACCAGAAGATGTCAACTATGTTGTCAACAAAGAAAATGTATCGGCTTTGAGACAACTATTTCAGCTGCCACTGGGTGAAGTTATTGAGCACGATCATTCTCAATCAAAAACCGAAGGAGAAGGCTTGAAAGAAGCGGAACAAGGCCTCGGGACTAACTTTACAATCACGACACGAGACTTAGAAGGAAAACAGTTTTATAGCGAACAAGAGGAAGTGACCGTGACTATCAAGTCACCAGATGGAGAAGAGGAGACACAAGTGGAAGATTGCAAAGATGGAACGTACAAAGTGTATTACATTCCGAAAAGTGTCGGACAACACGACATTAGAATCGAGGTGAATGGGTGGCCGCTGACTGGTAGTCCTTGGAAAGTGAACGTGAAGCCACATAAGTACCAAGTGGTGAACTCCCATGGAACACGTGGACAAGGAGAAGGCGAATTTGACTTCCCATGGAACATTGCGAAGAACGATAATACAGGAGACATCGCCGTGGCAGACTTTCGTAATAAGCGCGTTCATTTGTTTGATGCCGAGTGGAAATACCTTAGGACAATAGGGGGAGTGACAGGATCACAAACTGGCGCAGCTGTCAAGATGGGTCGCCCGTGGTCAGTAGCATTTTCAAGGAATGGTGACATGATCCTGATTCACGGCGATAAAAACTCAAGAAAGATGTCTGTCCTTACCAATGGCGGTCAATTTATCGAACAGTTCAGTGAGCACGTGATTGATCCACGCAGTGTCTTTATCAAAACTGATGGTGAAAGTCATGTGATCGTGTGTGATTCAGCTGACCACAAAATCAAGGTCCTGTCGCCGGACGGTGCAGAACTACTACAGTCTTTCGGTGCCCCGGATTGTGACGCTTGCCCCAGTTGTGTTGTTTATCATCAAGAAACTTATTTTGTGTCGTATATGATGGCTAATTGTGTCACCGTTTTCAACAGGGAGGGTATCCCTCTCTTTCACATCGGCAGTCAAGGAGAAGTGCAATACCCCTCGGGTTTAGCCGTGGATGCGTTTGATAACTTGATCATCTGTGGCGACAATAAGCTTCATATGTTTACGCTGGACGGAAAGTTTCTCGCCTCATTTGATCAAGAAATCCAGAGACCCTGGGCTATGACTGTTTGTAAGAACGGTGACTTGCTGGTTACTGATCTAACGAAACATAATGTTCTTGTTTTTAGGTGAGCTTTGCTTTAGATCGCGAAATCTGAAGGTCTGAGGACTGATCGAATCCTCGCACAGTGCATGTTTAAGATACTTTTGCCCTAATATCGCGTGCGCAATTATGTTGCGATATATCTATTTAACGGTAGAATTAAATTAAATATTTACGGTTACTCGTAATTCATTACTAGTAGTAAATTGTCTTTATCACTGAAAGACGCTTACAATTATCATATACAAATAAAAAAGGGTCAATAGAGATGAATAATTTTTTTCCGAAATCGCTGACGGGCCCGGGCATAATCGTTTTAGTTTCCGTGAGATCAAATTTAAGCGTAAACAACAACTCAAACAGTGTTTATAAAGTTGTTCTAAGTTTCAACAATGACAAAGTTTTGTTCACTAACTCAAAATATTGCTACACAAATCCCTTGTTTGTTAGTATTACCATAAGATCAACATGACATGATTTTCAAAAAAACCATCATCTCTGTGAACATATGAATGGCATCTGATATCTCGCATCTTCTAAAAGAAAATCATTCATACAGATCATAGAAATTTATTCAAAATTCACTACTGTTGCACATGCACAGCGATCGAGCAGCGCAATATGTTATCCAACCAAGGTTTATGGCTAGTAATGATGACACATTGTATACCATCCTCTTAAAATCTTTCGTTTCCTATTGCTTCCCTAACATCAGTATGCATATTCTCCATTGTGTTCTCTATACATTTGCTAAGGTGCTGACAAGGAGAATTTGTTTAACAATCAAGAACTTCTTTGGTTGGTGATCGTTTCTTCAACTCTCAGAGCCTTAATCTTTGATTCACTGGCGATATTGTAAGGAGAAATTAGAAACCAATCACTCTTAAGAGTTAATGTATTAAAGAAGGTCAATCACGATCAGAAGACGTCAAAGGCAACCTTTCCCATACGTTCCCAAAATCACATACCAGTTAGAAAATTAGGAATTAATCCTTTCAGCCTAGGATCAATTGTATTTTTCCAAGGATAGAAAATTTCAAGAATGGAAATTCGTTTTCTGACCATGCATTAAGTAATTCTGAAGGGACATCATCGAGAAAAAAGATTCAATGGCCTTAATAAGCTGTGACCAGAATCCACTCTTAAATTACCCGCAGCGCAATAATAACTAATTGCAGTAACAGTTCCTCCACGAGATCTAAAAAAGTTAAATTAGGATATGGCATTGTCATTGACAACTTGTATTTAGAAACTCCTCTATCTGACCTATTCTGCGGCGGCATTAATTAAAAGAAGCTAAGAGGGATTCACCCAATGATCTAATTACCATGAGGGAAGATTTGTTCCCCAAGAGTTGAAAAAGCAGGATTTAAACCTAAAACAAACCTTTAGAAATCTTGGTCGAAGCAACTCTTGCAAAACCTATGGCCGCAGCTTGTTTGCATAGACGTCCTTAGAGGAAACGTACAGATCAAACAAACCAATTCCTCATCGACTACTTCAACAAATTCCTCTTCATAGCCAGACAGAAGTTGATTGAGCGCCGTGGGCCATGAGGAACTCGAGTTTATTCGAATTGGTCTTCTGCCCCTTCTTTGCACATGAAAAGGGCTAGCCCCACTTAAATTCATGACGAAGCGACCGAAAATACTAGCAATAACCTTCAAAGCCTTTCGCCGCGAGCTATTTTACCTTGAACTGCACCTACTCTAGGAGGTTCACGCGGCTCCGATTCCTCGTGACTAACGACGGATTTACAATTATTCGAGCTAGAGGAGGGCGGGAAATTCTGACAGTCGTGACCATTTCCGGCTTTATTTCACAGTAGTGCGGAGTAATACGACAATCTTCCGATTTCGGACAATGTTCTGGAGTTTTTGGAGCTTTGAATTTGGTCGGTCAGCTCGAAATGTTTTGTTCTGCTTCCGGTCTGTAACTGATATGTATTATTAACAGCGGAAACTTGAAATCTAAACCTCGCAAGAATGGCTTGGAAGCTGGATCAGAATCGAGCAGAAGGAAAAGCGACATAAAAAAATGGTAAATCATTTTCATTTCGAAAATATATTCTTGTGGGCTAAGTTAAAGCATATTTCCTTTACTTGCGTGGACTCAATCTTACCTAAAATACAATTTCAAGTATGAAGTGTCAAATGGAAATTAAAAATGGCTCTCAAACAACCTTTGTCAGCGAATGGGCTCTCACAGGCGCTGCTGCACGAGCATTTCGCGGGATTATCAGGGAGTCGCGAGGGACGAGTGGGCAATTGAAGTGAAACGGTAGGAGACGTGCAAATCTTCTGGTATAATCACTTTTCGTGCCAGACGCAGACCTCCACAACTTGCCCTGTCGAGTCGGGATGCCCGTGAGATACTCGTGCAGCGGCGCAAATGATAGCCTGCTTTTAGGCCTGTGCTATTTCAGCTGCTTGTAAGGTGCGTTGGGAGCGAGGAAAATATTTAGACGATTCCTCTCTCTATTAATTACCAGGTCGAGCCCCTTGAATTGAACCGCAAGTCTGGGGACGAAGTTATCAAAGCGTGGTGGAGTGGGAGAAACCGGAACTACTTCCGGTATTATTTCATATAACATCGATGCAAGAATTCGGACTGGCCGTCCAAATTGCGAGGTACGTTTAACAGTTTCGATGTAATTTCTGTCAAGCAAGCTTTCCAAGGCCTGACACCGAAAACAGAAGGTGATCTCGTATATAATTCGAATGCTGCGACGATAGCTATGTACTTTTTCTGGTGTACATCGATAGAATTTCCGCTGCAAGCTTTTGAATCCATAAAATGCGCGTGTAATAAATTTTCAACGTATTGTGATGCAATCGTTTTTAACAGGTGAAATTTATTGGCACAAAAATCCTTAAAGAGATGAAAGTTATTCAGGAGTTGGCAACTTTGTACTCAGCTCTTCTGCTCCTAACTGGCGAATCTGGAGAGGTTGGTGACTTGTCTCGTTCGATATCAGCGAAGCAAATCATAACAGGCACTTTAAACCTACATTTGTCAGTGAATATGCAAAATGTACGTCTGAATACGTCGATGTGGTGATGGTTTACGAAAATAAACTGGGACGAATCTGTCATGATACTTGGCATCATCACTAAAGTTCAACTCTTCATTTTCGAATTCACGGCACACTTCTCGGTAAAACAGTGGGGAAATATAACTTTCACTTTCGAGAGCGAGAGTGTTGTTTTGTTTTGTTTTAGCAGGGGGAAGGGGGGAGGGGGGAGGGGGGAGGGTTGAGAAGGCGGGCTGTGTTCCCTCAGGAAACTTTTTGTTGCGGAGCTACAACCCCCCAAAATCACTTCCCCCTCCGCCCCCCTTGGTCTATGCCAAGTTCTTGTCCAAGTCAAAAACAACTCAAATTTTCCACTTCTCCAGTACGATCGATAATCGTCCTATGCAAATGATGATCTCTTCCTGACTTTATTCATTTCCATTTTTTTTTATAGCTAAATTTTAAGGAGAGAGTGATTAAATACAAGGCCGAAGGCAGAGTGCACAAGCTGAAGTGGGTGTATGATGGAGTGGCATGGGATATCCAGAGCGGCATCAGTGTTAAGGCAAAGCACTATAAAAGCAAACATGGAGCGATTGAACACGCTGTCAAGGAACTCATTGACAAACTTGCATCTCATGGGATAATAACAAAGTGATGTCCAAGTTCTCAGTGAACTGTAACATGCTAGATTCGCTTTCTGCTCCATACTTCTTTCCTCACTGTCCCATAACTTTGAACTTTTTTAAAGAGGGTGAACCGTTAGTCGTAAAACAGAAACAAAACGAAATTTTCAGGCATAAAAATTGACAAATTTTAAAAGCTAGTCGCAAAGGAACTTCTCTTAATCGCAACACAAAGAATTCAAACCGTTATAGCCGTAAAATGGACAAAATGTTAGAGTAATTAATCACCCCATTGGAACCCTCTGACGTGTTGGATGAAGTCAATTAATAAGAGGACCATGGAGAATGCAAAGGGGTCAGAGCCAGAAATAGACAGGAAATCTTATCACTCATCCGTTTTTATTAATAATTCGTTTTCATCGCCGCCGGACCATATTTATAAGATTTGATTGATAAGCAACATTTTTCACCTGCATATTTATGCCATGCAAAGGATTAATTTCGATCCTTGCGTAAAAATACCTTACGTACGTTGTTTTTGGTTCACGGCATTCGTTAACAATCACGAGAATAATTTTTTTTGTGGACATTCTGGATGAGAAAAAAATAGTCCTTCCGTAGACGTCATGCATTTCCCTAAATCTTTTTTGTTTTTGTTTTTTTGCCATTTTGTAATTATGATATATTAGTAGAAATAAAAAAGGAGTTACATATACATTAATATAATATAGCTGAAGATTTAGTATGAGGCGAGGAAACCCGTAGGGAACCCAAGAGGGTTATACGAGCTGCAGGCTCCTAATATTTTACAAAGGTGAGTTATCAGTTTTATGGCATGATTTAGGTAAAAAATATTTTAGGTTGAAAAGGAGAGGACACACTCGCATTAAACAACTACAACAATAACAGACACTCAAATAAACATATGCTTAAAAGCAGCCTGAGAAAAATAAGAAAATAAAATAATAAATAAATGAATAGTCTGCAGTATATCAGACCATCAGTCATTTGTTATGGCGTGATTTGAATTCTAATTAGTTTCAGTTTTTGTCTCACGTCATAGGTGAGAAAAAAAAACATATTTTCAATCCAGTTTCAAGGGTTCTTATTTTGAAAGCTGTTGTTGCAGCGAGACTAGCTTGTTAGTGAATGGCAAAGCATGTGAAGATTAGACTACACGCCATTGCGAGGCATTCTGCACAGATCGCGCTTAAGAACGCAGTCAAGTGTACGAAGTCAAAAGTGTAATTATAGATCGCTTGTGCTATTAACAGAAGCGGTAGAATTGAAATTAACCTTAAAATGCAATCAATACAGCCAATCAGTGCGAAAGTAGAACATGATAAATTATGAGTCGTAAACGGTAGGTAGAGTGTCACAAAGCGCAGGAGATGACTAGCTAATCAATTTTTTCAGGGAATTTATCATCAAATAAATTTTTTACCTGATTAAACGAAATAAGAACGCAAATGGTGGCATTGGAGTATTTCATACTCGGCAAATTTTGGCCCTTTTTGTGGGGTCTTATGAAATTTAATCAAAGACTAGACATGTGATATTGCGTCATCAGAGGAGATCTGGGCTCTACAGGATGAGCTCATCCTTACTATTATTTTAAAATATCTGGCAGTTACAGGAAGAAGTTAAATCCAATAGTTGAAAGGAGAGATTGAAACTGTAGTCGAATTCATCAAAAGGTATGTATATTTAATCCATCCAAAAGAAATCAAAAACATGTTTTCTACAACCACCTGATCGAAATTACGAGTGGATTTTCATCATTTTTTCCAGCCACGATGCCAAGTTTTGATGAATTCAATAAGTTGGCCGCTTGGCTAAAAAAACTCACGCTTGAGTACGGTGAAAGCGGACAGGTCAGTGCCTTACCTTAGTGACTGTATATATAGAAAAAGTACTGAGTTATATTCATCCTTGTGTAAAAATTACACCTTAGCTCGAAAGCATAGAAAAGCTGGAGACCACAACAGAAAATACCAGCTTGTTAGTTGCATGAAAGATCTCCCTTGTGGTTCCTATAGTCAATATTTAGGAAAAATTTGAGTGATTTGCGTCAAAACTTTTCTACATCAGCAGTTGAGTTTTCCACGTCATTATGATGAAATTATATACTCAAAAGTGGCCCCCTTAAGGAGAAACAGTTTGGTTTTGGAAAAACTTTATTTTGAATCGCTCGGTTTACTTTTAGTTATTCCTTGTGGACCGATTCATATTCTGAATTTGTTTCCCTTTCGGATACAGGTCATGGACCAGAAAAAAACTCAAACTTCATTTTCTTTCCTCTTATTTTAATCGTGTTATCATATTCTCTATTTTTATTACACTCTTCGAGTTCCTTCCTTCATTTCCATTTCATTTGCCGGGTCGGAAGGATTTTGGTTGTGTCACGTTAAAATTTACTGATTTATAATTTTTTAAATGCCTCGTTCAGGTTACTTACAAGGGTCGCGTGTTCAGCTTCAAAACAGAGAGAGAAACATTCACAGCAGGTAACTGGGCGTGTGACGGAGTGGCAACTGATGATGCCACTGGAATATGGGCGAAAGGAAGGCATTATTACACTGTACAACTCGCTCTTGAACACGGCGTCAAAGACCTGGTCCGGAAGCTCAAGCAAGAACATCAAATAGATCTTTATTGAAACAACTAAACGAGTCTCTATTTTTCTTAAAACCGGTTGTGTCACCATGGATGTATTCATCTTAGCAGTAAGGAATTTAAATGAGTCACAACATAAAGTTTTTTTTAACATTTTTTATTTTAACCGTCAGCTGCAATAAAGGATCGAAATAAAGGTTTTTCTTGGCCCTCAACACTCAAGCATTAATATACGTTTTCGAGCATATTCTCTATACTGTTCTTTATTCACTTCCTTCGGTGTCGATAAGGAGAATTTGTTTAGCAATCGAAAGCTTCTCTCTTTATTCTCTTGACTTACTGTTTGATTCTGAAGAGATGATGTAAGGAGAAATTAGATGCTAGTCACTCTTCCAGGTTAAAGGGTTACAGTAACTTCTTATGCACGCCATCCATAGGCTGCGAATTATCGGATGGAGAGCTACAATCTATTTTTTTTTAGTGATCTCCGATGGAGTACTTACGTAAAACCTTCTACTCCCTTCTCCCTATGGAAACTTAAATGTGATGGAAACTGAAAAATTCCTTCGTTTTTGCTTAGCATATATATATATATTCATTCTATGAAACGCCGTCTTAATCTCGTACCCAGATCCTGCCGTGCAAGTGTAACTGACCGTGGAAGGTTCAGGTACGAGACGAATGCCGCCCGTGACTTTACTAAGGGATTGTACAGTACTAACTATCTATCGCCGGAGGGCTGAGAGGGGGTGTTTGCCGTTTGCCGGATGATTTTGGCTGTGTCACAATGAAATTTACCTGATCCTCTCCGAAGGCTCAGATTCCCAATTATTGAAAGTCAATTTTCTCCAGCCCCCCCTCTTTATACTCTGTTAGTGACGACCATTAGCATCTCCGTTTTCATTGTAAACATATGAATAAAAAATACTCTTACTTCCTCCATCCCTCCTCCCCAGTCGATAAATAATGTCCCTAAACCGCTCAGGTGGAAGCAAAGTTATCACTTAACTGTGCCCTGGAATAAATGCCGTGCGTAATTAAACAAATGCAGCGTTTATTCGAGGGTTCTAAGAAAAAAATACTGCGAGAAAAACTCAGTAATTTCTCCTTCTTGCTTTTATGTTATAAACGCAGTAAACTATGATCAGGTGATGTATTTTTCGCTTTCTGCACTTGGCATTTTACTATCTCAGTATCAGTAGCTATCCTGATAACAGTGGCTTTCATATTCTCAGCCAAAGCTAGCGATAAAAATGTTTTTGAATGATAACATCACAGTTTGTCTGAAGCAGTGGGTGATCGAGGTATACCTTTTCATAAAGCCTGCGGGTTATTCCACACGATTTGGCAGCTGCTTATTGAGCGTAACAAGGCTGATTTTATTAGTTAAAGGAGGTAAGTTTCTAAAGAAACTATGTGTTGCGTCGGTGGTGGGTATAACAAGATAGTTTGGTTCTATCAACTGAGTTTATAAAGTTTTCATGACGAGCTTTGTTCACCAATAGAATTTATGCAAATGAGGCTGAGGCGGATCTGAGATCCGCCTGGCAATTATTAACTGTAAGAGAAGAACTGACTTCGCGCCCGCAGAACGACCGAGGTGTTGCGGATGAATTTTCAGTAATTACTTTTTTGGCACTTTTTGGCGTCCAAATTGCATGGCGAGAGTAACCCAAAACCTTAAAGCAGACCCTTCTTGTCACAATACGAATGTTTTCCAGATAGGGACACGCGTTAATGTCAGCTCCACTCGCGTGATTGCATTTTTCAAGGTTAAACCCTCGCGTGGATCTAACAACTCAAGTTTACTTTAAAGCGCACAATGTAAGCCAAAGTAATTTTATAATTGAACTCCATGATCGAAATTTTGTTTACAAAGGATAATAATGGATCGACATCGACCTAGAGCGTCAGCTTCACTCGCGGGGAGTCAACCATTTTCTCTTGCCCCTTGCGCAACATAGAATGCAAATTTGCTGACCCACTCTATTGATACACACAACTCGACAGTCGTTAAGTGTTGAAAAAGATGAATTTTTTTTACCAAAACCATGTGTTTCCGATTTTTAAACGCTAACAAAAATGTAGTAATGGTATGTCCACTCCGGAAAATAATACCGCAAACAACAGCAAGCCCTAACCGCGATGAGAACACTCATGGATCACACAGCGCAACAGAACTCATTTTGTTTGTTTGTTTGGGTTTTTTCCGCCGGCACCATATAATTGGCTAAATGCTAAGGAAGTAATATACTTTAAAGAGATCATTAAAGGAGTAAAATCTTTAAAAAAATTTTTCCTGCTGGGGTTTCCTGGCGCGCCACTGCGAACACAGCGAACCTCATGTATAAGGCTGCGAGAAAATAAACAAAGACAAGTAGAAAAAGTTTTTTACTCACAAATCTCTTTTACAATCTATGACCGATTTTACATCTCGTGTCTGAAGCAAGAGTTGTAAATGTAAATGCAATTTAATACGTTACGAGAAGAGGTATTTTACTCGTTGGTAATTTTATTCCTAAATTCGTTATTTATTTTTAATTGAAAAATCACGGGATTTGAGGACAGACACCACCAAGGCAAACACAACATCGACGTAAAAATTACCAGTCAACGGAACGTGCACTTATGATGTGTAATTAAGTTAAGGTTGGCTGGTCATCTAAACAGGAAAACTATCTTTTTCTATTAAAACAATCATTGCTTTTTCATCACGGCTTTTCGCGGTTAACGTTCAATTAAATCTGCAAAGGAAAAAAATCAAGGCAAGTAAATTTAATTATGTCGCAATTCAAAATTAGTTTGTCATGAGATGAAAACGCACAGTCTAAAATGAAACAACTCCCAAAGAGAGACAGAACCAAATAAAAAAGGAAAGATTTTGCATTCAGATAGCAAAAGTCCAAATAGGACTGACTACCCAAGAGAGACAGAACCAGGTGAAAAAAAGAGAAAGGTTCTGCCTTCAAATAACAACAGCCCAAACAGGACTGACTACCCAAGAGAGACAGAACCAGGTTAAAAAAAGGGAAAGGTTCTGCCTTCAGATAACAACAGCCCAAACAGGACTGACTACCCAAGAGAGACAGAACCAGGTTAAAAAAAGGGAAAGGTTCTGCCTTCAGATAACAACAGCCCAAACAGGACTGACTACCCAAGAGAGACAGAACCAGGTGAAAAAAAGGGAAAGGTTCTGCCTTCAGATAACAACAGCCCAAATAGGACTGACTAACCAAGAGGGACAGAACCAGGTGAAAAAAAGGGAAAGGTTCTGCCTTCAGATAACAACAGCCCAAATAGGACTGACTACCCAAGAGAGACAGAACCAGGTGAAAAAAAGGGAAAGGTTCTCCCTTCAGATAACAACAGCCCAAACAGGACTGACTACCCAAGAGAGACAGAACCAGGTGAAAAAAAAGGGAAAGGTTCTGCCTTCAGATAACAACAGCCCAAACAGGACTGACTACCCAAGAGAGACAGAACCAGGTGAAAAAAAGGGAAAGGTTCCGCCTTCAGATAACAACAGCCCAAATAGGACTGACTAACCAAGAGGGACAGAACCAGGTGGAAAAAAAGGGAAAGGTTCTGCCTTCAGATAACAACAGCCCAAATAGGACTGACTACCCAAGAGAGACAGAACCAGGTGAAAAAAAGGGAAAGGTTCTGCCTTCAAATAACAACAGCCCAAATAGGACTGACTACCCAAGAGAGACAGAACCAGGTGAAAAAAGAGAAAGGTTCTGCCTTCAGATAACAACAGCCGAAATAGGACTGACTACCCAAGAGAGACAGAGCCAGGTGAAAAAAAGGGAGAAGGTTCTGCCTTCAGATAACAACAGCCCAAATAGGACTGACTACCCAAGAGAGACAGAACCAGGTGAAAAAAAGGGAAAGGTTCTGCCTTCAGATAACAACAGCCCAAATAGGACTGACTAACCAAGAGAGACAGAACCAGGTGAAAAAAAAGGGAAAGGTTCTGCCTTCAGATAACAACAGCCCAAATAGGACTGACTACCCAAGAGAGACAGAACCAGGTGAAAAAAAGGGAAAGGTTCTGCCTTCAAATAACAACCTTATCTAAAAGCCAAATTGGACAGGCCAGCGAGTAGAATTTCTTCCTCGCGAAGTTTTACACAGTTAAGACCTTACCTTAAGGAAAGAACGATGGCCCCTTTTCGCTTATACCGCCGAATATACTAGTACCTTCGCACAGAATTTTCGCGGGATAAGTTCCCGCGCTTACCTGATGATTGGGACTTACTAAAATGATATTTTATACTGAAAGAGCTCCTCAGTATGGACGCCAGAAAAGTATTATCAAAATATCTGCCCAATCGTTTCAAGTGTTAAATGATACTCTTGTATCTCCAGAATATACAGCAGTCGAAATCTCTCTTGAAAACAAGGTCCTTACCGAGCGGCTCGCCGGCTTCCATGTTGACTTAGGGTCAAAGGTCTGATCAGAGTGAAATATAAGTTGGCTAACACAATTTAATTTTGGTATTGTCGTGACAGAACAGATAATCGCTCTTTGCGTCACAAACCAATAAATCTGTAGATCACGAACAAAACATGCTGGGTACAATAACTGTTACTTGATAGTCATGTCACGCACTACAACCAGGCTATCCTCAAATGCCATGACACACTACGGCTTAGCTAAGCCGTTCTTGTCGCTAAATCATTCTACAATTATGAAAATTGCCATTCACGCCAAGAATGCGTAGTTATCTCCAAAGAGAAAATTGTGCAAAAGAGTCCTAAATTTACGTAGCACTCCTAACGCGCAAGCCGCGCGGATCCTCGCGCCTGTTTACATTTTAATTGTTAACTTCAATTAATTTCACGCTCGAAGCCAAACACCTCGCTTTCACTTGCTAATTCAGCCCTCTCGCTTTACTTTGACAAGCCTATGGATCATTTTACGCATCCCTGGTGAGAATTTTCTTGAGCAAAGCTCGTCATGGTGTTATTAGGTTTTGCTCAAAGTGCAAATGTGTTTAAGTTTAATGCAAAAAGCCTCATATTCCTTAGAGCTGTTTAGTTATATCGACTCACCAAATACCAAAAACTCGAGAAAAATTAAATAATTTTACCTTTTTTGTGCTACGAAAATGCCTTGGCCTTGTCTGCGGATTGATAGAGACCCCGAATACTTAAATGACTGAGAACCCCCGACTGGGCTTGTCTGATGTCAACTCATTTCATTCGTTGTTTTTTAGGGCCTTTCCCTATGAAGTCACAAAGGGCAATAAAACAGTTATTTTGGGAAATACCTCCCATCGGGGATCATGCTGAGACCAACACATAAGATTTTTCACTGGGACTCATAAATGACCTCGCTGACGCCTGACGCTAAGTAATCGGAGAAGCACTGGGCTCTAGAGGTAGAAATTACATATATTTCTGAGAATTAAACAGTGATGTTTATTGCAAGAGTTGACTCGACAGACAAAGCTTCCTTTTTTTTAGATAAGGGTAAAATTGTATTGTGTGAATCTGTGAATTAGTCAGCCTGTCTAAAATTTTCGATCAACCGGAAGAAATGATGAACAAGGCTAACAAGTTGATGAATTTTATATTTCGCAGGCTATCATGGATGTTATAAAAGACATCGCACATTTGTATTCTTTCCTTCAAAGCGTCACTGGCAAGTCTGGGCAGGTAAGCGATGTCATGGCATTTTATTCAAGTTTTTTGCTTTAACCATCTGTTGCTGTTGATATTAGCCTGGACTAGCTTTACGTCGCTGTTTAGATCGGTTTTGAGTTAACGAAATGAAAATTACAACTCTCCCACTTTAAACGCATGCTTAAGCAAGATCGGAACGGTTGTTATCCAAGGATTCGATCATTACATCAAATTTTTTGTTTTAACGATCTGTTGCATTTGATATTGTTCAGGACTAGCTTTACGTCGCTGTTTAGATCGGTTTTGAGTTAACGAAATGAAAATTACAACTCTCCCACTTTAAACGCATGCTTAAGCAAGATCGGAACGGTTGTTATCAAAGGATTCGATCATTACATCAAATTTTTTGTTTTAAAGATCTGTTGCAATTGATATTATTCAGGACTAGCTTTACGTCGCTGTTTAGATCGGTTTTGAGTTAACGAAATGAAAATCACCACTGTCTCACCTTAAACGCACGTGCAAGATCAGAAAGATTCTTAATAGAAGGATTCGATCGCTGCATCGCGAAGTTTTCCATGAATGGACTTGTTAAAAAAATCATAAACACATAAATCAGTTCCGGTTGATGGTAACTTTGTTTTATTTTTTCTGATGTCATGACCTAGGAAAAACCCCTCTATTATTTTCTTGCTTTATTCTAGGAAATAGACCTTTGTGTTAATTATGCAAGATAAGCGAAATGGACGCCAACGGCTAGAGTAGACTTGAAGGGAAAGTTATTCTCCATACATTAAACTTTAGCAAAGTCGCACAAACATCGATAACGAAATGTGGAAATCAAAACTAGTCAAATCCTCTCAATATATTATCAGTCTTCGATCCCTTTAAGCCAGTCACTTTACGTCCGTATTTGATTGTCTTCAAGTGGGATTCATCTCCTGCACAAAAGCTTTTTAAGAAATGAATCAAAATCTAATCGAGATCATGTTTAGCTTCGAAGGAGATCAACGAGAAAAAACTTGGAATTTTAAAAATCTTTAGTTTTTCTTTAAAGGCCTTTCTCTTGCCTCTATGAGAGAGAACCAAGAGAAAACTGGCTTTTAGAAGATGTTTTATCAAAACCCAACTTTTCCTCTGAGTTTTAAGATTAGACCTGGAAAAAAATATGGTAATGTTTGGACGGTAAAGTACGGGGATTACTTGCTTCTAAACCGTGAATGATTTTGGAGGGTAATAATGCAGACAAATACATTAGACGCACTTAGAGGATTTCGAAATCAGCTGGTATTTAGCGAAGGACACTTTTGATTTCTTTTCATCATCATAATCAATTATCCTTCTGTTTAGCTCAATTTCAAGGGTCGTGTGATCGAATACAAGGCGGAAGGTCGAATTCATAAACTTAAGTGGGTGTATGACGGTACCGCCTGGGATGTGGAAAGTGGGACAAGTGTTGAAGCCAGACACTACAAAAGCACTCAGGGCGCTATTGAACACGCCGTCAAGAAGCTGATTGATGACCTCAAAGCCAAAGGAATACTGAATTGAACGCAAATGAAACGCGTTTTTACGCCCTTTTTAACAGTCTCTTTCGCAACCGATCTATAAGATGTCACGCAATTTGTGACATCTCAGAGTATAAATGTGAAAGGCATTAGAATTCGTTAATTTTTGTTTTTTCCAGTACATATATTGTCTAATAGATTTTAAAGTAATGTTGCGGCAAGCACCATGTCAATTATAAGCTAGAAAATATATACTAGTTTGTAAAAGAAAAAGAAGTTGTCATAGACATTTTGGATGGAGTGCCAATATGTTTGGAAAACTCCAAAAACAAGTAAAAGACTTGTTGAAGCTTTCGTCATCTCCCATATTCAGTGAACCTGCTATAAACTTCATTATCACTTTAAACTTTGCAACCCTCCAGATCTGAAGGCCGGTTTACTAACGTACAATAGGATCTTACATTTCTTTTACCAAACGTGATTTCGGTGTTATATCCAAGTTTTATCACTCTGTTAAATAATGGTTTTTGTAATTCTCACTACAGTCAAATCTGTATTGAGTGGTCACCCTTGGGGATTGATAAAATAACCTCATAAAAACAGGTTCCACAGTAGAGGGGTAATATACAGTGGCGGATGTAGGGGAGGGGCCTGTGCCTGAGTAAAATAAAAAAGAATCTTAGGAGGAAGAAAAGCCGGCAGGGCAAGCGACAAAAAACCGGGGTTTCCCCCCTTAGCTCAAGGTCTGGATCCGCCTCTGATATATATAAAACAACTAAAAATGCCATTCTATGCCATTATTGGCCACTTATGAATAAAACACTTGCCCAAAAATACTACTAAAATTGATTTCGGGAGAGAAACATGGATTTAATTTAATTTGAAAAATGATTCTTAGTTTTAATTGAGTGGTTCCTTTTTAAATGATTGTTCAACATAGGTGAAAGACGATACAAAAAGGCCGCTGGGATTCACCCAAAGGTGACCACATTGCTTAATAGAGGTGGACATAAGCGACCGCTTAATACATGATGGCCGAACAGGTGCGACTGTATTACTCTGTTGAAAGAAAAATGACATTTTTGCGAGGTGACACTCCCTTGAAAACAGCCTCCTTGTCATTCTACCTCCAGACCCACCCTACCCCCCTCCCTCTTTCTTTCTGAACTTATTTATATCTCGATTCCGTGCGATCTTCCCCATACTCCTAAGGTTGACAACACGCATGCTCACTAGTTCATGTTAATGTTAATTTATCATCCAGTTCCTCAAGGTCGTTTAAAATGGTTTCGTTGATAGAACGATGCTCTCTGTCCACCTTTTATTACACTCTAATATCAATATGCATATTCTCCGTAATGTTTTCTGTACATTACTAAAGTGGCGACAAGGACAATCTGTTGAAAACAAAATAAGGGCTTCTTTAGTTGGTGATCATTTCATAGATTCTTGTGAACCTTCACATGTTTGACTCCGAGGGATCAATGGGTTGAAAAGATGATGACAGCTTACTACCAACTACAGGCAAACAGATGGAAAAGCGTAGAAACTAAAAATCGGTGTTTCAAAATAAGGAAATTAAACATGTTGAACCATTTCAAAGTTACGGGTGGGTCACAGAAAATTATTATTAAAGCGAGTACTTTGAGCTGATCACTATAAAACTATATAATACCAGCTTGTTAGTTGTATGAAAGATCTCCCTTGTGGTTTCTATAGTCAATATTTAGAAAAAATTTGAGTGATCTGCGTCAAAATGTTGCTACATCAGCAGTTGAGTTTTCCACGTGATTATGATATAATTATATACTCAAAAGTGGCCCCCTATTCCCTTCTCCCTATGGAAAGTTAAATGTGATGGAAACTGAAAAATCCCTTCGTTTTTGCTTAGCATATATATATATATATATATATATATTCATTCTATGAAACGCCGCCTTAATCTCGTACCCAGATCCTGCCGTGCAACTGTAACTGACCGTGAAAGGTTCAGGTACGAGACGAATGCCGCCCGTGACTTTACTAAGGGATTGTACAGTACTAACTATCTATCGCCGGAGGGCTGAGAGGGGGTGTTTGCCGTTTGCCGGATGATTTTGGCTGTCACAATGAAATTTACCTGATCCTCTCCGAAGGCTCAGATTCCCAATTATTGAAAGTCAATTTTCTCCAGTCCCCCATCTTTATATTCTGTTAGCGACGACCATTAGCACTTCCGTTTTCATTGTAAACATATGAATAAAAAATACTCTTACTTCCTCCATCCCCCCTCCCCAGTGGATAAATAATGTCCCTAAACCGCTCAGGTGGAAGCAAAGTTATCACTTAACTGTGCCCTGGAATAAATGCCGTGCGTAATTAAACAAATGCAGCGTTTATTCGAGGGTTCTAAGAAAAAAATACTGCGAGGAAAAACTCAGTAATTTCTCCTTCTTGCTTTTATGCTATAAACGCAGTAAACTATGATCAGGTGATGTATTTTTCGCTTTCTGCACTTGGCATTTTACTATCTCAGTATCAGTAGCTATCCTGTTAAAGTTTTCGTTTTATTAGGTTTTGCTCAAAGTGCAAAGGTGATTAAGTTTGATGAGAAAAGTCTCATACTCCCTAGAGCTGTTTAGTTATATCGACTCACCAAACACCAAAAACGCAAGAAAAATTAAATAATTTTTACCTTTTTTTGTGCTACGAAAATGCCTTGGCCTTGTTTGCGGAGTGATAGAGACCCCGGATACTTGAATGACTGAGAACCCCCGACTGGGCTTGTCTAATGTCAACTCATTTCATTCGTTGTTTTTTAGGGTCTTTCCCTATGAAGTCACAAAGGGAAATAAAACAGTTATTTTGGGAAATACCTCCCATCGGGGATCATGCTGAGACCAACACATAAGATTTTTCACTGGGACTCATAAATGACCTCTCTTACGCTAAGTCATCGGAGAAGCACTGGGCTCTAGAGGTAGAAATTACATATATTTCTGAGATTAACAGAGTGATGTTTATTGCAAGAGTTGACTCGACAGACAAAGCTTCCTTTTTTTTACATAAGGGTAAAATTGTATTTTGTGAATCAGTGAATGAGTCAATCTGTCTAAAATTTTCGATCAACCGGAAGAAATGATGAACAAGGCTAACAAGTTGATAAATTTTATATTTCGCAGGCCATCATGAATATTATCGAAGACATCGCACATTTGTATTCTTTCCTTCAAAGCGTCACTGGCAAGTCAGGGCAGGTAAGCGATGTCGTGGCATTTTATTCAAGTTTTTTGTTTTAACCATCTGTTGCTGTTGATGTTAGCCTGGATTAGCTTTATGTCGCTGTTTAGATCAGTTTTGAGCTAACGAAATGAAAATCACCACCCTCTCACCTTAAACGCATGCTTAAGCAAGATCGAAACGGTTGTTATCAAAGGATTCGATCATTACGTCAAATTTTTTGTTTTAACGATCTGTTGCAGTTGATATTGTTCAGGGCTAGCTTTACGTCGCTGTTTAGATCGGTTTTGAGTTAACGAAATGAAAATTATCACTCTCACATTAAACGCACGCGAAAGATCGGAAAGATTCTTAATCGAAGGATTTGATCACTGCATCGCAAAGTTTTCCATGAATAGACTTGTTAGCAAAATCATAAAAACTGTACATTAAACTGCACCGAAGGCAGTAAAGAAAAAGGCAGGTTTGTCAATTAAAGTACGTTTATTTAAGTCAGTTCCGTTTGATGGCAAGTTTGTTTTACTTTTTCTGATGTCATGACCTGGAAAAATCCCTCTTTCATTTTCTTGGTATTTTCGAAACTGTTGTAATAGCTATAAGTATCTTATTCAAGGAAATAGACCTTTGTGTTAATTATACAAGATAAGCGAAATTGACGCCAACGGCTAGAGTAGACTTGAAAGGGAAATTATTCTCCATGAATTAAAATTTCGCAAAGTCGCACAAACCTCGATATCTAAATGTGGAAAATCAAAACTAGTCAAATCTTCTCAATATATTATCAGTCTTCGATCCCTTTAAGCCAGTCACTTTACGTGTACGTCCGTATTTGATTGTCTTCAAGTGGGATTCATCTCCTGCAAAAAAGCATTTTACGAAATGAATCAAAATCTGATCGAGATCATGTTTAGCTTCGAACTAGAACAAACTTGGGAAAAGAAGCTGTTAAAGAAATCTTATAACATTTTGATTCTCTCGCTGGCCATCACTGATGCGTTGACCAGTATTTGCTTGGTTACTAACCCTGCTTATATCTATGGTGATTTGTTTTCCTACCCAAAAAGCCCCGCTCTGGGAGAGATATTCTGCCGGTTTATATGGAGCCGTTTTACTGCATGACTATGACCAAGAGAACTAAGAGAAAACTGGCTTTTAAAAGATGTTTTATCAAAACCAAAATTTTTCTTCGGAGTTTTAAGATTGGACCTGAAAAAAACATGACGATGTTTTGATGGAAAAGTACGGGTATTAGTTGCTTCTAAATCGTGGATGATTTTGGAGGGTAATGATGCGGACAAATACCGTAGACGCGCTTAGAGGATTTCAAAATCAGCCGGTATTGAGCGAAGGAGACTTGATTTCTTTCCATCATCATAATCAATTATCCTTCTGTTTAGCTCAAGTTCAAGGATCGTGTGATCGAATACAAAGCTGAAGGTCGAATTCGTAAACTTCAGTGGGTGTATGATGGTACCGCCAGGGATGTGAAGAGTGAAACAAGTGTTGAAGCCAGACACTTCCAAAGCACTCAAGGCGCTATTCAACACGCCATCAAGAAGCTGATTGATGACCTCAAAGCCAAAGGAATACTGAATTGAACGCAAATGAAACGCGTTTTTTACGCCCTTTGTAACAGTCTCTTTCGCAACCGATCTATAAGATGTCACGCAATTTGTGACATCTCAGAGTATGGATGAGAAAGACACTAGCATTCGTTAATTTTTGTTTTTTCCAGTACGTATATTGTCTAATAGATTTTAAAAGTAATGTTGCGGCAGGCACCATGTCAATTATAAGCTAGAAAATATATAATAGTTTGTAAAAGAAAAAGAAATTGTTATGGACATTTTGGATGGAGTGCCAATATGTTTGGAAAACTCCAAAAACAAATAAAAGACTTGTTGAAGCTTTCGTCATCTTCTATATTCAGTGAACCTGCTATAAACTTCATTATCACTTTAAACTTTGCAACCCTCCAGATCTGAAGGCCGGTTTACTAACGTGCAATACGACCTTACATTTCTTTTACCAAGCGTGATTTTGGTGTTATATCCAAGTTTTATCACTCTGTTAAATAATGATTTTTGTAATTCTCACTACAGCCAAATCTGTATTGAGTGGGATTGATGGAATAACCTCATAAAAACAGGCTCCACAGAAGAGGGGTAATATACAGTGGCGGATCTAGGGGAGGGGCATGGGCCCCCTTTATTTTGGGTAAAATAAGAAAGAATCTCAGGATCTACCTATCAATATGCATATTCTCCGTAATGTTTTCTGTACATTACTAAACTGGCGACAAGGATAATTTGTTGAAAACAAAATAAGGGCTTCTTTAGTTGGTGATCATTTCATATATTCTTGTGAGCTCCATGTTTGACTCCTGAGGGTCAGTGGGTTAAAAAAATGATGACAGTTTACTACCAATTACAGAGAAGCAGATGGAAAAGCGTAGGAACTACGAATTGGTGTTTCAAAGTAAGGAAATTAAGTATGTTGAACAACTTTAAGATTACGGATGGATCACAGAAAATTATTATTAACGCGAGTACTTTGAGCTGATCCCTATAAAACTATATATCACTTTAAAGCTTATAGACTACAGAATTCGATAATTTTCTTTTTTTATCACAATTATCACAAAGATCACAATTGAGGAGATAGAGAAAACTACTCATGTGTCTTCAATACATTTGTACGTGCTTGTATTTTATTGTTTCGGCAAACAATGTTTGGGAAGTGAATCAGCAATTATTGTGCTAAAAAAAACCGTATGGCTGATTGTTGATTGAAGTCTACTTCAAGAGTTATGAGCTTTTCAAGTTTGAGTGGGCAATTTTCATAGCTGGCCTTTACACTCTTCATCATATCTCAAAAAATGTTTCAAAAATCAACATTCGGCCATACGGTTTTTTTCTTCAACTTTTGATACTACTCCGTGCCAACTTAATTGTGTAACACACGGGGATCCATTTTCAAGTTTTGACTGACTAGAAAAAGAAAAAACTCAATATTTGATATATTTTCATTCACTTTGAAGACATAATAAAGCGATTGAGTGAAGTGATTTTTTTTAAATGTTTTATTTTTAGAACAATTATAAAAATAATTTAAGTCAATTGTCTGAGCACGGAATATTGCATGTTTGCTTTAACTGAAGTATCATTACGTAATAAGACAAAGGATTAACAGTGAGAAAGACTTCCTCCTCAAAATCTGTGAAACCAAGGCTAAGGATGTCAATCAATCCTCCTTTTGTGCTGCTCTTGAATCTTCTTTTATTCAACCAAAACTCGCCGTTTTTTATTCTCGCTTACCCACTTGATAATTGTATTTACGTTTCGTGACTGGGTTCTCGAGTGTCTTGTGACTGAAAACTGTCTGTATGGTTGCTTTCAGTAGATTTATTTAGAAACTCGGAAATTTTGTTGCTCAAAGATCGCATAACTGGCGTATGGTACATTGCTGGACTGCAGGTAAGTTTCTTACGCCGCATTCACACGAGCAAAGCATGTTTAGAGAATGAAATTTATCAATGGAAACCAAAAAAACAAAAAAAACAAAAACGAATTTTATAAGGGTTTTCAAGTAATCACTAGATTATATTTTCATTTTGCTAAATTTTTACATCAGAGCCAGCCGGATGAACTTCTTTGAGAAGGAGAAACAAAACAAAAAACAGTTTTAAATCGTGTTTCGCCAAAAAAACTGTAAAACATGTTTTAGCTTTGGTGTGAACAGGGTATTAGTCAAAAATTCGTCTAAGCGAGCTTCTTTTAGAGAGATAAATCTCACTAATGTTTTCGTTCTCGGCATTGAATATATATTTATATATATGTGTGTGTGTGTTGGTGAGAGGAAAAATTGTATGATGTTTACTTTTGTAGGATGTATAAATTTTTCTCCGTAAGCAAACTTAATGTAACAAAGTTTCTAGTCGGAAAAAACATTTTTAACGTTTTTGATCATTTAATTGGGATTTTATTCTTTTTTCTTATCGCGATTGATCAGTCTTTGAATGCTTAACTTTTAAAAATACGGAAAACAAATGCACTCACTTTTTTTGTTCTTAAAATAAAATTTTGGAGCGAATTTCCTCAACTTTATTTTACTTGAACTGTTTTATCATATGTGAAATAGGAGATCCGCAAGGTATCACAGTCTATCGCCGATCAAAACAAAGCGAGTGGCTTCGATGTTCTAACCAAGGTTTGCGTCTAAACAACGGTTACAGATGAATTCAACTTGGAACAATTCCTCTCTGGAAGCAACGTCTGAAGCCTCTTCCTTGAGCAGTAGTGTTGGAAACATAAGCCCCATTCAGCAAGCTGTTTACTCTGTTGTTTCCACGTTTGCATTTTTTGGAAACACACTTGTTATTCTAGTCTTCGTTTGGGAAAAGAAGCTGTTAAAGAAATCTTACAACATTTTGATTCTCTCGCTGGCCATCGTTGATGCGTCGATCGGTATTTGCTTGGTTACTAACCCTGCTTATATCTATGGTAATTTGTTTCCCTACCCGGAAAGCCCTGTTCTGGGAGAGATATTCTGCCGGTTTATATGGAGCCGTTTTCTTCTTTTCCACTTGGTGATGTTCTCAACATACATTTGTCTGGGTTTGTCCGCTGACCGTTGGTTTGCTGTCGTAAAACCTTTCAGTTACTGCATGACTATGACCAAGAGAACGGTTCTTAGCTACATCCTTGTATCTTGGGTGTGTTCTCTCGCTACTGTGAGTACGGCCGTTATTGAAACAGTGTACCTCCCATCTTCCAGGAGAATGTGTGAGTATCGAATCTTGGCGCCAGGCTCCACCTTTCGTGTCCTACTGGCTGTCTTTCAAATTACCATGATGACCTTCTTCCCTTGCCTCGCCATGATTGCGCTCTATATCCACATGGTGGGAATGGTTATGACATCAGCAGTGACGTCACAGGCGAGTAAGGCTAAACTTCGCGGGAAAATGACACGGATGATTGGTTTTGTTTGTTTTGTTTCCACGATCTGCCTCACACCGAATCAGATAACTGCCCTTTTGGTGTTTGCAGGAAAAATGAGGCCGGACTCTGAAGAACACCACGCTGTGGCATTTCTTACTTTTGCCACTAGCTGTGTGAATCCTGTTATCTACGGACTGAGCAACAAAAACTACCGCCGGAGCTACAAGAAGATTCTGTTCCTCATGTGCCCCAGAATTCTCACCCAGAGGGCAGAGCAAGAAAACGTGATTGATATGGTCAACAGACGGCACAAGGTAGAGCCCACTCCTAACTCTGTAGATGAAAATCAGAACACTACGAAACAAGCAAAGATAATGATTTCAAATGAACATTAAATTTGAAGTCCTCATGATAATAAGGTTGAACCAGGAACACGCGGTACTTCTGCTTAGAACTCAGTTGTGTGTCATTTTAGCGTTCATGACTTTGTTCAGTCGTTTGTCTTTCTCTCATCAATAATTGTTCAAGGGGGTAGTGGTTATTGGTGTCCCTTGGTAAGAATGAAAGTTTCTTATTATTGCCATCGTTTTGTGAATTTTTTTTTGTCACACACTAACAAGCCTTTGATAAGCAAAGAGACTTGTTTTTTAACTAATTGATCGTATAAGTAACCATTACGGAAATCCAGAGCTAAAAACCACTCTTACTTGCTTTTTCTCTGTGAAAATGTATTGGTTTGACTAGCAACTCAAAGCTTCTAGTCTAATCTTTTCTTGGTTTAAGTGGCGATCTCTGTATGAGCGGTCCTAGGCATTTCGCATCAGAAAAAAGTTTTTCCTCAAACTTTGCCCATTAAACTATCTTTGGTAGTAAGTAAATAAAACCACATTGGTTTCTGGAAATACGTTATAAAATTTTTCGAGAGCTCTTAACAATCAAAGCTGTAAACGGCCCTTTTTTGACATCTTGCGAAAATTTCAAAGGTTGACAAGCTCGCTCCTCGTAACACACTACTTGCAGCACGAAAACGTTTGTATTCCTAAATTGTGTGATATATGAGGGATTTGGAAAGTATTTCAATCTTTATATGAGTGTATTTAGAGGTTTCGCCATAATTTATTTGAATAAAACACCCGTTAGACATCTTTCTAAAGTGGTCAAAAGTACTCTTTCTTTCTTGGGTGATATTCCTCAAGTCCAGACCGGACCATTAAAAATTCCGGTTGATTTCTTCTATTTAGATGTTTGAAAACATAGAAATGTAAAAACATCTTGCACTTATTTCCTTCGCCATAGCGACTTCAAACTTTTGGTAATTTTGCTTGCGTGACAGCAGAATTATGCAAATTAGTCTGTTAAGCAAACTCCGACCATTCATCATCAGTAGCTTCACAAATCTTAGATTTTAACTACTTCAGAAAGAAAATATAGTAGGACCGAGCTTTTAGAACACACTGGTTGATACTGTAAACATTTCAAACGGCTAAAATCTGGCAAATTATTTTGTCTCGTGACGAAAAAGGTATCGAATATCATAATGATGAATGAGCGTTCAGTCAACGTTTTATTGAGAAACTCTTTTGGAAAATTAGTTTCTGTTCTTTTATATTTGACTTAAGAGAGCTTAAGCTATTCAAATCTGTATGAACATTTCAAACCATACAGCTGCCCTTTTCTCTGACGAATTGTAAACAAACGTCATGTGGTAAGCCGGCATCATCACGATTTAAAGAAGCGTGGGCTGAGTTGATATGACAGGCTTCCAAATATAGGCGCTGGTGGGTGGTAACGTCGATTAGTGGTGATAGTTTTAGACTTGTCCCACCCAATTATTTGGTTGATAAGGCATATGTGCTCCGACAAAGCTGAATTTTCTTTTCTACGAAAGAAGACCACTTTTTGATGCTCTTTCAAACGTGTACCAAACTGACGTGTGGTCTGTCTGATCTACTCGTGATCACAGTCATTGCCCTCAGGTTTGGGGCATATTTTCGTTAAACCTCAGAACCCTGTCACGGAAGAACGGTGAACCGATGCTATTTATTTTATTCCGTGACAGGCTTTCAAACAAAGGCGCTTGTGGTAACGTCGATTCTCCTGATAATTTTAGACCTGTCCAGCCCAATTGTAGGGTTGGTGTGGCATATGTGCTCAGACAAAGCTGAATTTTCTTTTCTGCAAAAGAAGGCCACTTTTTGGTGCTCTTTCATACGTGTACCAAACTGACGTTTGGTCTGTCCGATGCACTCGTGATCACAGTCATTGCACGGAATAGAATAGATAGCGTCGGATCATTGTTCTTTCATGACAGGACCCTCATGTTTGGGGCACATTTTCGCTAAACCTAAAAACCCTGTCACGAAAGAACAGCCAACGGACGCTATTTACTCTATTCCGTGCCAGGCCTCCAAACAAAGGCGCTGGTGGTAATGTCAATTAGTGGTAATAATTTTAGACTTATCCCACCCAATTGTATGATTGGTTGACAGGATCCTTATGTTTAAATAATTTCCATCGCCGCTGACGACGACATCTCTCCTTTGAGGTGGTATATTTTCAAACGTCGTAATTTGTTTATTAAATACGTGAACAAGTATAAAGAAAGGCTTTACTGAAAATACTTAAATGAGCTATTTCATGGCTAATTTTGTAATATTTCGAGACCATTACGCGATGACGATTTTACGATAGACCTTACGCAAGGAAAGAAGGTTTTTCGGTATTTTGATAACATAATTCGTGGTAATTCCGCGGAAAAGCCATTATCTCTCGCCAAAATCCCTCTTTGGACGTTCAAACAATCTTTCTCCATGCGTTCCTCTCCAGCGAGTTGCAATGTTTGCCCCGTGGCGATCCCAGAAATCTGTGCGCAAACGTAAGGATCCGATTACTGACAACTCCTTCATTAAGGAATACAAAAGTTTTCTTGCTGCATGTAGTGTGTTACGCAATATCGAACCTGGTGTCATTTTGGCTCCTTGTCAGCGGTATGGTCTCCAAATAACCTCTCGGAGACTCGATTAATTCAATTTTTTGATTGGTTTATAGGAAAACGATAGACTCTACATAGGAAATGTGATTTACGGAAGGGATCGATCGGGCCGGAAGTGAAGCATTAACAGTGATAAATTTGAATTGTTTTTACTGTTGTTACTGTTGCTGTTGTTTTTTTTTTGCGTGGAAGTTTTCATTTGTAAACTGCCTGTCGATATGTGAGAAAACATCCAGCCAAAGCCGCTGCATACTGCAATGGCGGGAAGCTGTTCTTCATGGAACGATGGATTGCTGTCGTTGATGTCAAAGACGTGTAATTAGAAATAAACCATCATAGTAATTTGTTTTAAGTGAAAAGCAGAAAGGAAAGAATTGTAGAGGTCTTGCGAGCGTACGGAAATGTACTAATGTAAAAGAGTTCGACATCAGAATAGCATGATAGTATTCAGTATCAAAGAAGAAATCGAGTAGGCTAAATATATAAGGAAATCGCGAAGAAAAGGGTCGCATTCTTAAAAAACAGAAATGAGGTCTGTCGCCCTCCAAACCCCTTCTCAGGCCACAGTTTCACTATCAGCGTTACCGCTAGTAAACTACTCAAAAGATCCGTTATACCCACGACTCGGGTACAAGAAGACACTCCCGATGGAAACACGGAGGTAATCGTTTCATATTTATCTCTGAATCTTGCGACACATTAAATCCTCTTTTTCAATCACCTATACTTTAACACTAATTTAACCAAGCAGTCAACAGGGACTGAAATACTTGAGATGGCTGGCCATAGAAATACTGAGGTCCTTAAGTATGAAGGTTTTACATGATGCTACATTTACAGCTGGTTTGCATTATGATAAGCATTTTTTTTTACAATTACAATATGATATCTGTCACTCAAAATTCCATGTCAATATATTTGTGTATTTGTGTTCAATTAACTATGATCAGAAACATTCAACAGAGTTTAATACATTCAAAATGAAACTGTTTGCCAATATATGGAGAATTACATTCTGTTTATATTTAGTTGACAGAACATGCAAATATCGAGTTAAGAAAGGATGATGCGTATATATTTTGGGTTGCATCGCAGACAACCCCTCCAAAAGCAAAACTTATTATATTGTTGTAGGAATTCTCTGGAATCTAAACCAATCGCTTCTTAAATTTGTCGTTATTCCTTTTTCATTTCCTCTAAGCCCAATATTCTTTAAGTAGATAACACTGCTGCACTTATGGTTGCTCAAAGTCCATCTTCACTAACTATTACTATTACACGCGGGAACCTGGAAACAGCGTAAAAGCTAGGTTAAAGGCCATTACTTATCCCTTTTTCTTTCACTTCCAAACCTCCAGGAGCACCAGAAGGTGCTCTGGATAAAATCTCGGTATTTTCTTCTGGTTTATAAATTACATTTTCGATTAATTACGATGAGTCGTAAGTTCACTTACAGAAAATTAAGTTATGTTCTTTTCTTCTTCCGCCGGCGTAAAGAACCGTGTGCTCTGTTTTGGGCACGCGCAGAAGTCAACCGGAGGCAAAAGCTTAACCATGTAGACATGCGCAGTTAAAACCGGAATCCCACGATTTCTGGGATAAAAATTCGATTCTTCCAGAGGTCATTATTTAATGAGCATAACGATGTCGTAAGAGGTCAAAAAGGGGCTTTTACAGCTTTGATTATCGAGAACTGTCATAAAAATTTTTTTGACGTATTTCCAGAAACCAATGTGGCCTTATTTACTTACTACCCAAGATAGTTTATTGGGCAAAGTTTGTGGCAAAAATTTTTTCCGATGCGAAATGCCCAGGACCGCTCTTATAGAGATCGCCAATTAACTTTTTCAAAAGCATATGTGGAAGATCAGGCTTAGCGTACATAATAATTTAACCATTCAAGCTACGATCAGTTCAACTGGATGAACATTAAATTTAATACAGCAAATTGAGGTAAAACAACACAATTATTCAACACAATAGGCAGTAGTGTTATAAGATCAAACGACTCAAAATTTAAGGGTCTCACAGGGTTGTTCTCTATCGTTCCCTGAAATAAAATGATTAATATAACTTGTGAAAATATGCCGTTGTTTCAGAGAAAATAAAATTAATTGATTGCTGGTAAGGTCGGATCAGTCCTTGTACCTGCTCGTGCACATTAGCGCTGAAGAACAAAAGGGCCGATCCAAGACCGGCAGAACTGCCCACAATGTCTGATCTGGGTTGTCTTTGTTTGAACACTTCTTTTTTCGCCCTGATCTCTCCTACACGAGACTGTAACGGTGGTTTGCTTAAAGGGGATCGGGGACTAGGTGGATATGCTGCCAGGCACCCCTCTCAGAATCAGTGATAGTCCTATGGGGCGTGATGACGAATAGCATGATCTTTGGTAATCGATAA